CCATTTATTGACATAATATGCCATCGACAAGGTAAGTGCACACCTGTATAGAATAGTATTTGTTGCATTTCCGTAAATTGACATCGTTGCGATTTAGCCTTACTCAAAATGATTTACATTCATTTTTTTATCTCTAACTTTTCTTAAATCACTTTCTATCTCTTTCATTTTGTTTATGTTTCCAACATTTAAATAGCGAAAATCAAAAAAGAAAATCAATTATTTCTTTCGCTATTTATTACTAACAAACTATAGAGAATATACTAATAGAAAAAAAAACGATGAATTGGTAAAATGCCGCTAGTGCTTTTCCATAAAAGCTCTCTCTATATATATACATACACACACAGTCGCTGTCAAAAATCCATACTTATACATTCCATTTCAAATTAGACATTGCATTACGTAATATATAGTTATATATACATACATACAACTAGAATAAGAATGATTAGAGAATGCATAGTTGAACAAATATTAATGCAAATTGAAAATCAACCGAACAATTATAATAAAACAAACAAAAAAGCAAGTATCGAAAGCAATATTAGTAGTGATTTAAGAACATCCGTGAAATGAACAACGTGTATAATAAAATGTGAAATGTCTAAGCAAATGAACAACTTTTTTGTAACAAAAAACATCCACGGACGCTTGAATATTATAAGCAATATTTTTTATTGATTTCCAAAAACTAAAACCAACACAATTTTGAGTTGTGTTTTTTAGTAGAGTAGTTGTATTGAGAGCATTAGCAATAGCTAATGTTATATGTGGACTGTTGAACGCGAATTTTAGTGGTATCTATGGACACACAGCAAACCATTCTTCTTCGAAAAAGAAAAACAAAGACGAACATCTTCTTTTCAATTCATTTAAATTTGATTCCGTTCTACTTCATTTTCACAACTAATCATTTTAAATCTTTTCCTTTGAAATTCCTTCATTCTATGCGATTTTTCTTTTCCATCCCGTCCATTTCATTTGGAAATTGAATTATGTGTGGGGAGAATAAAATTCGGTCAATTGTTGATAAAATCAATTTTTTGGTTGTTTCGATTGAATGACATGACATCTTTATATATATATATATATATGTAAAAGTTGTTCTATAACTCAAAATGGCAATCGGCATCGATACCACCAACAATCCAAGTCAACAGTTCAATTAGTGAAATTAATTCAAATGTCATATGTTCAACCTATATACCAGGTTATAGTGTTAAATTGGAGCAATACCAATTTGAATTATATACACTTTGATTTATACCAATAAATTTAAAACAAAAAAAAAACCATTTCCAAAAAATTAAGCAATATCTTTACTAAAATAATTAAGATTTAGATTAGATGCGATTATTATTTGTACCATACGCTTAAAATTAATAAATACAAAACCAACAACAAACAATAAATATTAAAGATGACACATAAAGAAAGAAAATGTAAAAAAATGAAAATTATTACGAAATAAGCAAATAAACTATTGAATTACTTACAATTAACATTGTTGTAATATTGCTTGCGGGGTGCCATGGGGAAAATGCTATGGCAACCGTGCTCTGAGAATGTCTTTTACGTTTTGAATTAATTAGAAGTGGTAATAATCAAGACACACATAATCAATCCATGGCAAAGTTGTTTGAAACGACGTTGAACTTTATAGTGTCGTTTCGTTTCAAAAATCTAATGGCATTTATGGGAATTTTCAACACACAACAACTCGCAACCAATTTCTACAATCAACATATACATATATACTCCACTGGGGTATGGAGTAAGTGGCACATGCAAACCATAAATGTGCTAGGGTAAGTAATAGGCATTAATCTGACTTCCAAATCCGAATTATTGTCGCATCGTTAAAGCACAGCAAACGGCTTTTGTATAATCAATTAAAACTATAAAGTGGTTCGCGCTCAAAAAATTATTATTTCACCCCAAATACGACGCCAGATACACACATTTATATACATACAATACAGACAGATAAATAGATGGGATATGTGTTATTTGAGATATTGAAAAATTGCAAACTTCAACAATAAGCGCTGCCATTTTTGGTTCGACCGCACTCTTCCTCTCCCCCGTTTGTTCCCCCATTCTAATACCCCATCTCGCTTTCATTCATCTTCTTGCCCATTCTCTCTCTATCTCTCTCCTTCTTTCATTCAGCCATCCTTCACCATCGTCATCAACATGATAAGCTGAACAATTGCAAAACAAGCATAAAAAATCTGTTGATTGTCGAAATCTCGTTCACTCATTCTTCTTCGTTCTTTTGCGCGATTGGCTCTTTGACTATCGTATGTTGGCTTGTATGCGTATGTATGTACAGATTTAGTCATTTTTCATCTTCATGTCTTTGTTGTTGTTTGGAACAATCTGAACTCTCTCTCTCTCTCGTTCGCTTGCTCGTTCGCTGATGGCTCCGATATTGTTATTATTGTTTGTTCTTTTGTTATTCAAACTATTTTGTGCCATTGATTCGGAAATCGGCGAACAGTGATGCTAAACTCCGCTAAAATCGAATGGCATTTAGAAAAGATATGTACGCATTGATGCGATATGAGTAAAACGACAACGAAAAGATTGGAAAGAGGAAAAGTGGAAATGTAACAGAAAAAAAGCACTTCGTCAAATAATATTTGATGTTTTATCCCTATCTAAAGATAAACACAAGCACACTAACTACATTCGCTTGAATGCGGCAAACAAATACTCAGCACACAAAATGAGCGAACGAAAAATGCAAAAAAATAAAAAATAGAATAAAATAAATGAAAAGAAAAGCAAAAAAAAGCGAATGAGCAAGAAAAGAAAAACTAATAGATGAAATACGAACAGAAAATGGTGAAAATGGAAAGTATCTAACGAGAATCTTGCAAATTTTATCATTTTATTCCCAGACATTTATACTATTTGATATTATTTTTACATATTTTATTTAAGACATTCACCATTTCTTGATATCACTTTCCCTCTTCCTCCTCATCTTTTTGCACTGAGAAAAAACATTTTGTAAAACATTAAGCACACTGAATGACAACGGCAGTAGAAAATATAACAAATACTTCCCTCTATTGTCTTTTTGTCAACAATTTTTGCCGACGTTATCGTCATCGGGTGTTATGTGTATATAAATATATATGTGCATGCGATACTTGATTTCTTATGAATATTATGTTCGAGCCGTTCTTTTGACTTTTGTTTGCCGCCTATTTGGAGCCGACAAAATTGTGTATATTTTATCATGCTCTCTCTATCTCATTTTCTCTCCGTTACAACACATTTTATGTGGATTTCATTTGGTTCCACCGAGAATAAAAGCAGCAAAAAGTGCGACAGAGAGACGAGAGAACGGCATGAGAACACAAGAATAAGGGAATAAAATTGTTGAAAAAGAAGAAGAAGAAGATGAAAACATTATCGAAAAATTGTTGCGTAGCCAGTGGTAGTCAGTCGTAGAGAAAAACTCTCGAAAATTAGCGTTAAAACAAGATGAACAAAATGTGATGCTGCCACTGCCTGATGTTGTTGGATGTATGTTATTTTTACTTGGTCCAACAACGAGTTATAAGTTCCATTTCAGATTTTTCACATATAAAATTCATTGCCTGTGTTTACTGAACAATAGACGATATAGAGAGATGGGGACCAGAGAGAGAGAGAGAGTGAGAAAAAGCAAGCAAACAAACGAGAGAACCAGAACCAAGTGAGTGTGTTTTATGTATCGCTTCTGCAATGGTCATAATAGTCGTCAATTGGTGAAATGTGTGCGAGACTGCTGCTATTGCCACTGCTATATTGCTGTTATGCTGTTGCTGCCAAATAGAGAAAACCGTTTTAGATTTGTTGGGTCCTATTTTATTTACGACCCATTTTTGATGATGTTATGCCTCCCCGTTTCTATACTCAATCCCATTATTACTGCAGCAAAACTGTTTGCTACTACTGTCACTACAATAAAATAAAATAAAAGAGAGAGAGAGCGGGAAGGGTATAAAAACGATCTCATTCTCGTCTTCCACTCTGTTATGTAATCAAAGGCTGTAAATGTGAAAAAATTTTCATAGAAAAGTTGTTGCTTTTATATTTATTGTCAATTTGTCTCGGAAATTCCAACTCCATTCGCTATATTGACTCTGCTGCTAATGATATTAGTTCGTCGAAATATGTGTACCGGAATAAGGCGAGAGTTTGGCGTACACACACACACACATATATATATATGCACATCAACAAATTTTGAAATGTCGTGAAAACGGAGCCAAAGCAATTGAATAAGCAACAATGTCGTATGATTCACATAAAATAGTTGACCTATAAGCAATCAACAAAATCATATTCATGCTCAGGCATATAATTTCGGTCGAAAGATTCTTGGTCGCCTAGTTCTCCCTTCATCTTGAACAAATGAATTTCCAAATCGAACAAATTGCCGATATTATGGCAGCAGAGCTGAAATAAATGTTAGCATATTCAATGGCAAAAATTACCGAATTTCTAATGATTAGCATCCGGACAGATTGTGGCAACAAATAGGTGCTAAATATTCTCTTACAGCTGGCAATTTGATTGGTAAGCCATGGAGAATGAGAGTGCTGCGGAATGTAACGACATTGAAATAGGACGAAACTTATTTATTCTAATAAACATTCGATGAGATAAAGAAAGATATAATTTAGCACAAGCTGTTGAATGATATTCAAGTATGAATTCATTTGTGTGCTGTATCTCGGCAAGTGTATGCGTTAAATACATCTTCGAAAGTGTAATCGAAATTCAACAGTGCCCATCGCAACACGAGAATGAAAATAGATATCATATCGGATAGATAGATAGAGAGAGCGGGAGAGAAAATATGATTTTATGTTTACGTCATCAAATCAAAATATGTAAATATCATCATGTTGTGCATACACATACGCTCACACACATCAAGTAGAGAAAATCAACTGAAACACAATCAATATTTTCTCTTGATAATAAACAAAAGGTTTGAGAGAACATCATTTTATTATTATTATTATTTGTTTTATTTGGAATTGTGCCAAAATACATTTCCCAATCCGAAAAATCTCATAATTTCCCATCGAGGTATCAGCTATATTGTTTGCCATTGATGATGGTATTTGCTTGCATGCGATTATAGATGGCCAAAAAAGTCAACATCTCCACCTGAGTAAAATGAACACTGTTCATCGATTGATGTTTCAACCAAAAACTCGAATAAATCACGTTTTTCCTGTGAACCAAACAAAATATATAGATCAAAAAATACAAAATCAGCAGTTGGCCGACTTGATACCAAATTCAATATTTGAAAATAAAACTTATTGAAAACCAATTTCAGATCGGGATCGTTAAAATGACGGCACATTTTATGGCCGCATCATATAATCTGTTTAAAGAATACTATAAAAAGAAGAAAAGTTTTAACTTACGCCTTCATAATGAGTGAACATTTCATTTATGAGTTTTCGGCCATTTTTAAGTACGGCAGAACGGCATCTTTAATATAAGAAAAACTCAGTTTAATGGCTCAATTTTAATATACTTCCTTACGAGAAAAAAAAAACGAACTGTTTTTATTGGGGTTTCGTTTTTTTTTTAATTCTTACGCTCTGATTTTTGCCACATATTTAAGCTCATTGCAATAATCGACTGGTTGCATGATTTCATCACGACGTGCTTGTGTTGCCTGCCATATTGAATAAAACTCTTCTTCGTTTACAATTGCAGATTCGGTTGCGTTGAACAAGCATTTTAATAGGGCCAAAGGTTCCATTGAAGCCATCATCACTGAATTACCGTGCATAAACTGATTGCAATTTTTTTTTATCATTCATTATAAAACACAAAAAACGAATTTAAATCTCATTTAATTACTCACAGTAGTGAAGAACGCCAATAAACAAAAAGTGTATGTAGAAGTCATTTTTCTGGTCTTTTTTTTTACATCCAAATCACGCACGATTATCGACAGGAAGATACTGAGACTGAGTGCAATTCCGGTGGATACATTTCACATACTTTTATAGGAGTTTCGAACACACACACCGCTATTTTTACGGTTTCAATTAGTTTCAACTTTACTTCGATGGATCGGAAAGAGAGGAGTGTTGTAATCGATTGAGGAAAAGCAGCGAATAGAACAATGGATTATTTTCAATTTGAAAAGGGTTCTTGAAAAAAGTTTTTTTTTTTTTATTTCGTTACGTTATAGGCAAGTCTTTGGATAACCAATAATTTAAGTGATCAATGCAAGCATTTCATGCATATTATGTTTCAAAACACTTTAGAGAAGCAATGCACAACGCTGTATGCCATATGTAATGATTATGAAATGTGAATTTCGTTACTCGAAATTGGAAAAGTCTTTGTTGTAAATGTAAGCCATTCAATTTCAATGAATTATTATCAGTTTGGCGATTCGATGTACATGGAAATGATATTAATTTATCGATTTGTTGAATTACATTTCATTAATGGAATTGTGTAATGTACGCGCGATCTTTGATTTTGTGATATATTCTTTTCATTTCTAACAAGTTATCGGAATTAATAATGATGCGTTTGGATTAGATATGACCATGGTGATTTGTGCAATGTGTTACACTTCAAATAAGATTGATAATGCTTAAGCATATTTGAGCATTTGAGGCCGTAAGTATATTTCGCCACACATACACATATGTTGGTCGAATTGATGTTGATTTGAAATGAATTTAATAAGAAAATATTCAAAAATACGCAGAGAAAGGGAAAGAAAGAGCAAATTTCTGTATGACGTTGATGATTCCTGTTGATTCTTTAATGCAAACACTTAGGGCGGCGACAACAATCAAATAACTGGAAAAAACGCCGAAATCTATTCCATTCTGATATAAGTAAAAGTATTATATATGAATCTATTCAAATCTGATTTAGTTTTGGCTAATCAATATTGATTTTATCAATGACTTGACAACATTTCATTATTTCATCGTTGCTTGGTAATTATTATTATTCGTTGATGTTGTTCCATTTAGTGTGTTTTATTTTTATTTTTTCGGATTTGCCCAAATGAATTTTCCGTGACACGTTTTGGGGCGGTAAATAATTGGTGTGACACAAGGTCACTTATATAAAACAAAACAAAAAAAATGTGATTCTGTACATTGCAGCACCGTATTAATTATAAATCATCATATCAAACGGTTTAATATATACAAATTCATTTCTTCTGTTTTATGAGAGCTTACATCATTCATTCAATTTAGCACATAAATATTCAATAGATTAATCTTTCTAATTGAAAATTAAATGAATCTGTGTTAATTTCGTTAAAAATATTGCAATTCAATTGCGATGAAAACAATTGCCAACGACTTTCCTCACCCTCTTCGTTTCGCATTCAATTAAATGAAAACATACAATGGAAGCATTCAATGTGACGCACGTGATACACACGCATACATACAAAAGTTTGTTTGTAGAAAAACTGTCAAATAAATAATTGAGGTTAGAATCGCTTTGATTGTTATGAAACTTTTTCATATACATAAATCGTCGTGAATACATTTGTTGTTGTTGACTTGAAAATTTTCATTCAAATGCTTAGTTTAAGAAATGTGTCCGTGCGACATTTTCGGTCAATAAATTCATTGATTGCCTCAAATCATATACACAAACAATATTTCAGTTCGGCCAATGAAAATAATGACCGAACCACACACTTTGGATTTCAAACAGTCGGCGAAAATGAAAAGGCTGATAAAGGTTTGGCATTACATTTCGTGTTCGCCATGAAAAAATTTGTGACACCATTTATTTATTAATATTCAATTGTTTTTTTGTAAAAAATAGTGCACAAAGTGTTTGAAGATGTAGCTGCCTCATACGATTTAATGAACGATGCAATGTCAATGGGTATTCATCGTTTGTGGAAAGATACATTTATGGAACGCCTTGGGCCGACACATGGCACAAAATTACTTGATATGGCTGGTGGAACGGGTGACATTGCATTTCGCTATATCAAATATTTACAAAATTCTCGTTCAAATTTTGATGCAAAGAAAAGTCACGTCACAATATCCGACATAAATCAAAATATGCTTGATGTTGGTAAAGAACGTGCCAAACAACTAAAACTTACCAATGAATCATTGAACCATTGTACCGTTGACTGGGTGTGTTCAAATGCAGAACAATTACCATTCGAAGATAATTCATTCAATGCATACACAATTGCATTTGGCATTCGCAACTGTACACACATTGACAAGGTAAATCCGAATTTTAAATAGAATTGACACAAAATGTAAGCCATTTCTTTATTTGCGTTAACAAAAAAGGTGCTCGAAGAAGCGTATCGTGTGTTGCAGCCGGGTGGTCGTTTTATGTGTTTAGAATTTAGTCATTTAAATAATGTTACTATGCAATGGCTTTATGATCAATATTCATTCACCTGTATACCACCAATGGGTCATATTTTGGCCGGACAATGGGAAGCCTATCAATATCTTGTCGAAAGTATACGTCGTTTTCCAAAGCAGGAACAATTCAAGGGGATGATACAAGCGGCCGGCTTTAATTGTGTTACCTATGAAAATCTAACGCTTGGCGTTTGTGCCATTCATTCTGGTTTCAAATTGTAAAAAATAAAATAATGAAATAAAACATTATCAATTCTTAACACTGTGTTTACAGGTGAAAAACACTTAAATTCAATTTATTGAGTACAACGATAGAGTATTTGTTTCTCTTACAATCTTTTTTCTTTTTTTCATCTTTCTTGAGATTTAAAATTTAACCTCGTGATATGTATTTTTCGATAATATCTATTGAATTATATCAATTTGATATCAAAATTTTGGTGACATTTGGATGGAAAATTGAACCGTTTGCATTACGATAGCCATTTGTATCGAAACAAACTTCAATTGTTTTACCGATTTGCAACATGGTAAGTTTCTTGTATGATGGATCGATGCATAAAATATGTCTATCGCTCGGCTGATCATTGTTGCTGGAACAATGTAATAATACTCGGCCATATGATTGTTCAATTGTGTCGATGCGCATTTTTTCGCCGGGTTCAATGAGATCTGATGTGCGTTCATTCATCCAAAAAGAGAAATCGGATTTGATGCCATTCAATATCTTATGCAATCGCTCAACCAATCCGCCCTTCACGTGCTTTTTCGGTTTATTTCGTTTATTTGGCGCCGGTTGTTGTGACTTCAGGCTTAATGAAAATTGTGAACTTGTTGATTCAATGACTGGATTCGATGCACTGGACCTGCTCTGTGTAAAAAGAATATCGTCCGAATGTTGTTGTTTCACCATCGCACATTCTGTAATGTTTTGGCTTTGTTTTGTCGGCAATTCGGTGCCATCCAATGAGTCCGATTCGATGATTGTTTCATCATTATTATCCCGTCGAAGGCGATGCCGGCGATTAACAAGTGTCTTGTTGAAACCATTTTTATGGTTAGATTTTGACTGTTGTTGCTTCGTTGGCGTTATGTCTTTTAATGTGGTCCGTTTGTCACACCTTGAGTTCGATTGATTTTGTTCATCCTTTGTCAAAAACAATAAACTCTTTGATCGTGCTTTCTTTGAATGTCGTGCATTTCTAGGCAACATGGACACATCTCTTAGTTCTGGTTCACCGTCAACACTTTCACCCGAATCACTGTTACAAACAAAAGAATCATTTGTTTTAGTCGCATTTATGCTTGTATTTATCAACAACGGTATCGATTTTATTGGTTTTGGTTTCGACTGTGTTTTTATCGGGGTTTTTAGCGGTGTTCGACGTAATTTGATACACGGCACATTCTCTTCATCACTGTCTTCAATTTGAAATGAATGATTTTCATCGATGCTACTTTTTGAACTGTCCAAATTCGTTCGATTGACTTTCGCTCGTTTCACTGAAAGAATCGGTGTCGATGCAAAAGTTTGTTGCAAATTTTTCCATGAATTTGTTCGCTTCATGGCTAGCGCTCATCAGACAGAGCACACAAAAAATATATATGAAAAATAGCTCAGAATAAACACTGTATGGATGTGGTCATTTGTATTTGACATTCAACACAGTTGTAAACATCAAGTCAATGTCATTTGGAATTAAACGCTTCCATTCATGGTTATACTAAGCGGAAGATTGTGAATGTGAGAGTAACACAATAAATTGTGGTTTACCAAATGCATTATAGTTTAAGCATAACATTGCTTCGTCGCCTTCTCTGTCGCCACACACTAAAATCCAAACCGAAAAAAAAACCATTCAATGATAATGGAATTCAAAAATTGGATTTCCAAGCCATTCGCATTTATAAATTATAAACTTGATTTTAAATTAGTTTTCATTGTTATCGAGTTTTGTGGCCAACCAACGAACGAATCAGAAGCAAATGCTAAAAAAAATTAACAGAATTAATTGAAGAGACAAAGAAATTAGTTCAAATTCAAATCAGAATAAATGACACACAAATTCATTTAGAGCTTATAAAGTAATTTGTTTTTTTTTTTATTTATTTATTAAATGTTGCATAAAAATCACTAGAATTATTTTGGCTTTTCTCACATTTCGGGCATACCAATATTTTATAAATACAATTTTATAAACAGATTTTTTTTTTATTCTTGCAATTTGGCGGAATAGTTTTTGTGGTAATTTCTCTCTTCTCTCATATATCTTAAATTCTTAAAACAAAACAAATAATCTAAGTCATTCCTGTGAGTATATTAGATTTGTATTTTAGTATGAAGATTATCGAACAGCCACCACTTTCCATCGAAGAATGAAATAAGCGCCCAAACGTAATAGAATAAGCGTAAAGATCAATGCATTTAAACATTGCCAAAATGTATCACCAGGCATTGAAATATCTCTCAACAATAGTTTTGGATCTCTGACGAAATGAAAACGAAACGAATTTTTATTAATTAAAAGAACAGTATGGTAAACAGTGAATGATGCAATATTACTTGTAAAAACAGCCCATCGGATGAGTACATTCGAGTTTTTTTCGATTTTCACCATAAATTGCATTAACAAATCCTTCCATACCGTATCGCATGAAAGATATATGACTTCCCCATTTCATGTAGCTGGGCAAATCTTTCAATGTGACACCGAAACCGGCAAACATCATCATTGGAATGGTGATTGTTGGCGCCAAAAATGTGCCATTCTTAAAAACGGAAAACAAAAATTCAATGAGATCAATAGTCAATTGGAATTTGTGTTTGTTGTCAGACTACGCGGAAGTAGAAATATAAAACTCACCACTACATTGAACCATGAACCGACCATAAGACCGATACTTTGACCGACAATCGTAACTATAATACTTATAGCAAGAAACATTGCAAATCGGCACAATTCGTATGGTTGGCTCGTTATGGTGTAAATTAAAATTGTAAAAATGGACGTACCAAACAACTGAAAATATATAAAAATACGTATAAGTTCATTTCGGCTGCTTATACGCCAAATCAATATTTACCGATATTGGAAGATCGAGCAAAGTCACCGATAGATAGTATGATTTCAACGAATACCATCGATTAAAATGCTCTTTCAGCAATATACCCATTTCAGTTGGAACTATATAAATGGTTTTTTTTTTTTTTAAAAAGAGAGAAAATTAGAAACGTTTCTATTTTCCATTATGGTTTTGTCAATTTTCCCAGCACAATGTAAAAACAACAATTTTGAGGAAAAAAAAATCATACATGTTAGGACTGTGAGCATCATTGTGGCCATCGAACAATGCAATAAAATTGCGAATAATAATTTGAAATTATCGATAACGCGTGCACCCTCATTTCCCGAGCCTATGTACAAAACACCCAACATAAGAGCCACCGAAATGTTAACCGCAATTCTGAAAGAGAGATAGAGAGGGATAGAAAAAAGCGAACAATAACGACTCGGTAAATATTATTAATTACCAACACACAAATTATTATTTATCGAACAAAATATATGTCTGTTTTATGAAAATTTTCATATTTTGCGTTTTTTTTAAAATGAAAGTCATAAATCGATTAAAGCCAAATAATTTCGAACGAAACATCGCATTCGCTTAATTAAAATATTTGATAAAGAACGAGCAAAAGAGGGAGAATAAAAAATGTAGATTCAAAAAAGCAATTTACCTCAAATGAGTTAAGGTGGCGTCTCGTTTTGTTTTGATCCAACCGCGTCGCATTAGAATTTGCAGTTGACGAAACGAATTGACAGCTTCGAGTGAACTATTGTCTTTCGACGTTTGTTTGATTGGATATTTTTGTCGTAACGTTTCCAATTTGTAAACTTTTTCCGGATTTGTAAACCAATCAATGCATTCGCCATTGTCCATGCTAACGACCATTGTTTTAATTTTATCCATGCCATATTCACCACATGCCAGTTCAACAACTATAAGTATGTGCGGAATCATTGCAATCAATATAAAACCATTTTAAATGCGAGAAAAATAAAAGTTTTTCACTTCTCGAGATTTATTTTATACGTATATGTGTTTATTATTGGTTAGAGAAAAGAAAAAAAAATCAAATAAAATCAAGCACTTACTGTAATCGGCTGGATTGTGATACATCGGACATGGTAAATTCACCGATTGTAAATAAGGTACAATTTTTTCCGTGCCACCTTGATATAGACATTCGCCCATCGCAAGTATATATACTTGTTCAAATTGTTGAAATAAACGGGCCGAAGGCTGATGAATTGTGCAAATAATGGTTCGACCTTGGGCCGCTAACTGCTTCAATAGGCTCACAACTTGGTAACAGGAATGACTGTCCAACCCTCTGAGTGTATGTTCGAGAAAAAAAAGCATAACAAAATTAAACTTTCTGTGTGTTTGAAACAGCGTAATATGAAAATCACTTACGTTGTCGGTTCATCCAAAAACATTACAGTTGGATTATTGATCAGTTCCAATGCAATTGAGAGCCGTTTCTTTTGTCCCCCAGACAGCCGCTTTGAAATCGTATTTTGATGCTCGTACAAACCGAGCAACGTTAAAATTTCCTCAATCTAAATAAGAATTTACAAACAAAATACGAGTTCATATTTCTCCAAACCAATCATGGTTTATCTGAATGCAACCATTTGGATACTAACCCGTGCAGCTTTTTCATGGTCTTTGAATGTGTTTCCTAATTTAAAATCAGCGGCTATTTGCATGTTTTCCAATACAGTAAGCAGTGTTTGTATTCGATCTTCTTGTGTTATATAACACGATACTCGACGAAATTCATTCAAATTTCGCATTCGACCATTTGTATAGACTTCTCCATTGACACCGGTTATTCGATAACCCGATAAAACATCCAACAATGTAGATTTACCAGCGCCCGACGGTCCCATTATCGCCGTCAATTGACCAGATGGAAATTTGCCATTGACTTTGTGTAAAATTTCTTTGGAGCCTAACAATATCGAAAACAAAAATTGATTGAAATCATGAAAAAACTAAGCAGCAACAAAATTCACATCTTCACTATATACAGCAGTAAACGATTGGCATTTATACATTTGGCCATGCATTTTTTTGTTTGTTTGTTCACAAAACGACAACGTGCAAATACTTATTGACTTTGTCACATATTTTTTGCACATGATAATATTTATTGTCAACATTATGGAAAAGGTTGTATTTAAAAGTGTATACTATTCTAGCGCTATCCAATTTTAAGCGTTGTTTGTTTGAATCCAAAGTCTAATTGATTTTCTAACTTATTTCATATTTTTCTTTTACGTTTCTTCGCAATTATTGTGCATATAATCTTTTGGACTTGGTGGGTGGACTGTGTTTAAATCGGATTAATTTTTAAGCAATTTTTGACGGAATGTTCGGTGATTAATTAAAATTTTAATTATATAGTCGGACAGAGACTATCTATAGATGTTTACACCTTATTATTAGCTATGTGTTTAATTTGAATTGATTACACGAACTATTCCCAATTTATTCCAATTTAATTACACGTGTAATTAAATGTTTATTTTATTTTTCGTTGTTTTTTCGCAAATTAATTGAAATTGATACAATGTTGTCGGGCATTTAATGAGCATTTGCTACAAAGTAAGTTGCTTCTGGTTTCGTAATTTAAAAAAAATTGTTGACTTCGCCTTTAGAATGAATTAACCCGAAGCGATTATTTTTGGTTTTGCAAATTTTTGCTTATTTATATCTATTCGACACCACATTTTCGAATTTCCAAATGGAATTAATGCCATGCGATACAGGTATTTCCAGAAAAGTAGTGGCTCTTGTGGTTTTGTGTTAAAAAATAATGACGGTCAAATTGATTCCCTTCGTTTCGAAACTTTTCATTTGAGACCTTCCATAGATTTATCAGAACTTATATTGACGCCGCTTTTGAAATGAAGTAAGAAAAAAAACCAGACGCCATTATACGTTCATAAAAATGCCATAAATGTCATCATCCCATGTATCTTTGGTTTGGATTTTTGAAACGTGAATTCTTAATTTGCATCAATAAACATATTCACATACTGAAGTCCGTCGAAACCGATGAAGCAATAACATTTTTTTTAGAAGCAATATAAAAAGAATCAAAGTGCACTTACCTTTATAAAAACCTAAGTTAACGGTGTAAGTAATATTTTTGAATTGTAAGTCGATTGGATCACGATTAGACATGCATAATCCGTTCGAGAGTTCGAAATGATTTGTGTATCCATTGCCATTGCCATTAATGCCATTCTGTTCATTGGTTATATTTCCCATGGGCAAATTTATTTGTCGCTCTGTTAAACTGTAATCCATTGTGATTCTAACACCTTTACCCGCAGCACAGTGTGTAACGTATGTGATTCCTTCTTTTTTTCAAACGTTTAAAATGTTTGCGGATTTCTGCAAAATGGAATGCAAATAATTTAGAATCACGTTTTGAAACACAACAAAAAGATATTATTTAGTCGAATTTGGTTAATTTTCGTTGTTCTAACTTTTTCCGCGTAATTCAATTGATTTAATAGTTCTATTCAAAATGAAATCGATACATTCTTGTGCGCGTTCACTTCAAAACCTGTGTGGCAAAACACCTTGGACGCTTTGTTTAGTCAAAATGTAAACGACATAAGAATCGAGCTACCGTTGCTAAAATCGAAACGATCCAAACTAAAAGCGGCCAACAAAATACATTTTCACTTGATATGTTTTCAATTCGAACGAATGATATATGTAGCATACAAAGAAATAATAATAAAAAAAAAAAAAAAAAACGAATGCGCTGGCTTTACGGCGAAAAGAAAAAAGCGATATTTACAAAAAGCATGGCGTGTTTTGCTCCGTTTGTAAATTTGGAATTGTGTGTTTTTTGTCGGTTGTATTGAATGCATTTATCATTCACCGCATGCGAGGTGAAGTTTGTGGAATACAGTGCTTTCGGTACGGATTTTGGTTTTGCAATCTATAATGATGTAATCCATGTGTTCTCTCTTTCTCTCTTTCTCTTGTGCTCTCTTTTAAAGACGAGCACCGTAAATATTGTATTGTGTCGTTTCTCAAAAATTTAAGCATAACAAAGCAGCATCGATTAGTTGACAAGATTGTGATGGAAAGAGTGTGTGCCCATACAAAAGCGTTTGTATATTTCGATTTGGTGGCGAACGCGCCGTATTCACGAGTTTGCTCTCATTTTGGCATGATTCGCATATTTGCCAAGTGTTTGTTTGTTGGTTTGTTTGCTTGGCCAAATATAGTGTCGAAGCGTGTGCGTGTGCCTATATACGCTCGCTAAATTCCATGAAGATCACGGATTGATTTTTTTTAAAAGAGTTTATAGCTCAAGGTTCTATATATAATTATAATTGCATTTCAAATACACAACGATGCACGGTTTTAATTTGTGTTCTTTCTTTCACACCGACACATACCAAAATTGATTAAGTCACCAAGTGAATTTCACATATGTCAACCAAAACTGCATTTTATTTGATTATTTATTTTTCTTCAATTCATTTTCGTGCATTTCTTTGTGTACACAATTTGTTCCGTTTCGCATTTCATTGCCAATACGAAAAGAAGAAAAAAAAAACAAAGAAAAATATGCGTTGACTATTTGGTATGTGCAACAAAGGTTCGTATAGGTCAATAAACAAGTCAAATCAAATTGCAACGCGTGCTCGCATTTTTTTTTTTATTCATTCACTCTACGCCATTCATTTTCCATTTTGTTTGTTTGTTTGTCTATATCTTCAATGTATAGTGCATATGCACACACATCGAATAGTGCAAATAATGCACAAATTAAATCAAACATATGCAAATCAACAAATGTTTGTGCGTCAAGTGTACACAACGAATGACATTCATTTTTTAGCTGATGTGTTGGTAAACCTCTGTTTTTTTTCTTCTCTCACATCAACTGTTTGCGTTGTAGTGTGTTTTTATGCTACCTTCCTCTCAAAACAACAAAAAAATGTGCATCATTTCAGATGGCTTTTCAAAAATCATCTCCTTGACGGAGAGTTCCGGTGACTATTGCCACGGCAAATGGCATAAGGCTAACATTCGAATTAAGCGTGTGCGCTCCTTTTTTTATCTCTTCGTCTGTCGCTCTGTCATCACATTGCAATGCATGCTGTTGCATTCGCTCAAATAGATTACGGAGAACGATGAGCATGCTTTGTGTGTGTTGGGTGCTTTTTTCTTTTCTCATCTTCTTGTAATGATGCCCCGGTTACAGGTTACCATTCAACACAATGTTTGTCTATTATATGAATGATATCATTTGACGTTTTTGCTTGCGGCAAAAAATGAAAACAAGTTGAAATGTGTTTGTGCAGCACGAACAGCACGATTGTTTGTGTGTGAATAGAAAAAATAAATTTAACACAACACAATGAACTTTGCCTTATTAAACCCGATGACATTTTAAACAATGTGGTATTAATGTGTGCTAATGTGCGCCCATTTTACACACAAAACAATTTTGTTTTCTGTGTGTGCTCTAATCTGAGCACACCACCCAAACCAAGCAACCACTTTGTTCGCAATCGAAGCGACAATACAAAAAGCAGCAACGGAGAGAGAGACAGAGAAAAATCATGGGAAAAAAATAACACATCAACAACAACAAAATACAGACGACACAGCAAATTATGCTAATTCTATTCTCGAAAACGAAATGTAAATTAGTAAGCATTATTATTATCTGTTGAAGCGGTTAAATGCACTTCGTAAACAATTTTCAAAATGAATCCATACATGTTATCAATCAACAATCAACGGAAACAAAAACGACGACGACAACATAAAATAAAAAATTAAATTAATTTTGTGGTGCACTGAGCTTTGTGGTGATTGATTTTTTTTTGTATATTAAATGCGTTGTGCATTATTTATGTTGCAGAAATTCAACTGCTAAATCGAAAAATAATCGCTGCAGGTTGAATGTTTAATGGGTGATTAGTGATTCTTTCAAAGCCAATTTAAGGTTAATTTCGTTAACAGCCGACTAATCTGCCAATAATATAACACTTTAGATAAATAAAAAATGATTCTCACTACCAGCAATAAATTAATGCGAAAGAGAAAAAACTATTAATGATTTGTGATTTTTTTTTGAAATTTGTTGATTCCATCTATAATTGATATCGCATCAAAATTGATCAAGTTAATGCGAACAGAATAATGCAAATGCTAAGTTCAAAAGTCAATGCCAAAACAAATGCAGCTCACACTTACACTTGTGTACACGCTCACAAATTCTAAGCACATTTGTGGAAACACTCATAACACAAGAATACTTTTATATGCAATTTTCGCACAATGCGCAAGAGGTTAGTTTGCTCTCATGCTTGTGAGCCTAACCACAAAACAATGTATAACAATAGCCATGGACATACAGTAAGCACGAGAATGATAGTAAAGAGCAAACGTAACGTTACAGTTCAATATGCGTGTGGCAAACATAAATCATTCTTTATCTGTGTGAATGAAATCAATTATCAACGATTCGATTAATTTAAAATGCCCCGATAAACATCGATAATAAACAAATTTACTTTCGCACTCAATAATGTTAATTTGAAGAGGGAAAATTGTCGATGAAAACGACTTTTAACAACAGAAAAAAAATTTCGTTGTTATGACCAAGACGACGACAATATACAACGAACGAAAAACAATTACTTTCCGTATCCGTATCGAACCGAACTTTGATCCAATCTATAATTATTTGAAACACTCTCTCACGTCTTCGCAGCTCAAGAGAGATTATCACCGTTTAATACATATAAATATATATTGTGTCGAATACAATAAACGAGAAAGAGATAGTTCAATTTAAATAGTCAGCCATAAATATTGATAACTTATCGGATGACCTTAGAAACAAATATAAATTTATTAGAATTTACTACGATTTCATTTCATCATTGAATTTCAAATGAACCAATGCCAAGCTGCTATGCTTTTTTCTATTTTTTTTATACAAATATATGGAGAATGGACTTATTTATAAGTGTCCAAATTCAATGCACTTTGCATTGCATCAGTGCAATCTTCTATTTCATAAACGAATTGATTGCATTTGACCATTTTCAAAAACATATATAATAATTGTGACATCAATTAACCATTCCACGACGATGATATGGAGACAATAGTGGCAGCAGGACATTTTGATCGTATACGAAATCGTCATTAACAATTTTTTTTACTTTTTAATAATCGTCATTCATGATAACCATCAATTTTAATACCTAATATATTAAAGCTCTGCTACGAACACACAAAAACACACACACAAACACACATATTTATTCATATTGCAATTTAGAAATGCTCAACCGACACGAATATCCTTTTTAAACTGAAAACAATATATTCAAAGAGTGTATTTTACATTAAAATCAAATCCGTTTATAGATTGTCTCTCGCTCCTTTCCCTCCGGTTTGTCGTGGTCTCTGTCAACGGCCAGTTAATCTGACGCTGAATTGATGAATAATTTGCAATTTAGGTATTCCGGTCAAAGTGCCTATTATAGTTTAATTACACTCCATTTCAAAGCTATTGAACGACATTAATTACAAATGCAAACAAAATTAAATCAATAACCAAAACCGACAAATTTAAATTTGTATAGAAAATAAAAACCAAAGCGTTGAAATAATAATTTGAAAAAAAAAGCCGCACAATATTTAAAAAAAAAAGAGTCGATTTTGTGAAAAACAAATCGAAAAAAAACACACACCGATCGGTAATATTGTTATTAAGGTAAGAAAAAAGTGTTCAATGGTTAAAAATGTCAGAAACAGTACGTATTGAAAATTCAAAAAAAAAAAAAAACGAGAAAAAAGACGAAGAAAAAATTCAATGAAAATTTGTGTGGAACTCTCTCACACACACTGTTCTTTGATCGCTAGCTCAGTTAAAACTGTTCTTCGATTCGAATCGAAAATGGACATCGGTGAAACACACTAACGGCAAATTACTATTACGACAACAACATCAACAAGCAGAAATAGCCAAACAGTCCTATTTTAACTTGTCAATACATAACACCCGATTATCTACGTTCGGTTTTTAAATGTATCGAAGTAAAACAATATTAAAATGATATAGTCATCGTTTACTTTGACGCTCTGTGCATACATCGATTCATTTCAATTTAGCACAATCGTTATAAATCAGTCGTTCAAGTGCAAAGTTGTAAGCCGAAAGGGAAAAAAATGAGAGGCACTTGCTCGCTCACCCGCACTTGCTTACGGGCGCGCTAAGCTCATCGAACAATAGAGCAAACGAAAATGGCCCACAAGTGAAAGAAAACTTAAAGTCCAATTTTTGATCTCATCCCAGTCACACTCACACATGTGGGGCAATGAAAAACTTAGCAAACGATCGAATGATTTGAGCATTTTTTTGTTGTATTTTTCATTTCTTTAAATTCCATCTTACCGTCGTCCGAATAAGTTAGCCGAATGCCGATTACACGGCGTCGTTATGCCTATAACATTCACTATCTCTCAAATAAATATACATATATTGCATATGCATTATCGCAAAAAGCCAATTAAAAGAGAGGAAAACACACACATACACACACGCATACTTTTATTTTGCCCGCGATGAGAGGAAGCGTTGATATTTTTATTGAAATATGAAAAGAAAATAATTTAACTTGATACATGTACATATTTGTAAATAAATATTCGTAGTTTGTGTATTTATTTTTCTGTCATCACTGTGATCGGCCGCGTTCAAATGTTCAACATACTCTCTCTCTCTCTCTCTCTCCCTCTCTTTATCTCTATCGGTGTATCCAGTATGTTGACGTCTTCTTTTTCTATTTTCAGTACGCAATTTTATGTGGCATGTAACCGGATAATGGACATTACATATTTGCATACAGAAAATGAGCGAATAAGTGAGCGAGTGAGTGAGAAAGAGATATTATTATGAACGTCTTTTGTTTTGTCATAGTATACAAAGTGTCAGTTGCACATATTATTTGCTGACCGATGCACTCCTACAATCGTCATACTTAACTTAAATGACGAACGGTTAGATGACCAATTCAATTTGACTGCTGTTGTTATTACCACCACCATCGTTACTGCTGCTGGCTACTGCTGCTACTGCTGCGATTGCTGTGGTTGTTGTTTTTCTCTTTTTTAGCTTAACCTGTCTATTATAATATGTCTGCTGTTCAAAGTGACAAATATGCAAATCGCAAATTGAGAACAAAAACGCAAAGATTTTGATGGAGCGACACAGACATGACCAAAAGTGGCAATCACGCGCAATTGTGTAAAAACAAATGATATGATCGTGCATGTTATTGGTTTTCTATCATATATTTTTTTTCTCTCACTCTCCTTATCTCACTCTGTTTCGCCTCTGCATTGATGCATACCCATACCATATTTCGTGCGATATGTATGTTTTGGGTCCGGCTAAATGTTTAAATATAGGTTTGGCATAAGGTACAACGCAAAAAAAAGCAGCGTATGCATGCAAAAAATGCTTCAATTTGATTACCGAATCGAAAAAAAGTATGCACAAATCTTTACATAGTCCATTCAACCATATTAATGCATAAATAAATGCATATTTGGCATTCACGCAATCGTTATTGCACATTTTTAGTTTTCTGAATATGTGAATAAAATTCAATAAATTGTGTCGCATTAGCCATACCGATATGCATGCGATGCTTAGAGAATGTGCATGGCGCGTGTGTGTGTATGTGTGTTTGGAAGCCAAAGACTCCATAGAAGAGAGAACATATCGATTCAATTGATTTTAAACAAATGATTCTCTCTCTCTCTCTCTCTCTCTCTCTCTCTCTTCTGTTTTAGTCGCAAGTGCCACTTCACATGATGCATCATGAAATTTTTCAGTTGATTTATGCAGCTTGTGTTTTTGATTAGTGCAGCCTTCAATAAAAAATCAAAATCATAAAACAGTCATTAAGTACATTTAACATCCTCGTTCGGTTTTGTGTGCACTCTCTATACAGCAAACATAAAATCCACAAACAATAGAAAATTAAAATTATTAATTGATATTTTGATGTGTCACAATGCACAAATCGAATGGGACTTTTGATGACATTGTAGGGCTGTTTGTGTTGGTGTTTTTTTGTCTATTTCTCAATGTTCGTTATGTGGTTTGTGTGCTTTTTAATTCTCCGCTACCATTCATTCGCATTTTTATTGATCAATTTTGCATTGGCCATTTACTAAAATATGATAGCTTTCAATTTTCGAGTGGTTGATTCTTCGCGATGACGATGACGACAACGACAACAACGACGACGACGCAAAAATCAAAATCACATTTGGAGTGATTGTACGATGTGCGCGAGCGAAGTGTGAGATACAAGCAGGAATCTGATGCAAATGTAAAAGTTCACACTGATGTTTACGTTGTATACGTTGTATTTTGTAACTTCAGATGACCAATTCGACTTATAAACACTTGGGTGTAAAGTGTGCGCGCTTTTTTTCTTTTATTTTCTTCTCTCTCTATCTCTCTCTCTCTCTTTCTCTCTCCATCTCTTTTTGTTATACATGTGTATGTTGGTGCAATGTGTTTGCTCTGTTTCTTATGATTGTCATTTTCGTTCATTGAGCTTTGTTTTGCGGTCATGTATCGTATTTGTCATTTCGAGTTCGTTGTTGTTTTCTTATCAATTATATTTTGTTATTGCTTATATTTATGACGTGTTTAACGTTTTATTATATATATATTTTTTGTACATTTTTGTTGCCGTTATTGTTGTTGTTTCTTTGGTTTTTCATGTAATTTCGTTAATCTCTCAATGCTACTGCTACCGCCGCTGAGAAAATGTGTAAGTGGTCTTTATAATTTGGTTCACAATATCACATTTATCAGGTTGTGTATGTATTGAAAAGTATGTACTTTGATCGTAGCTCGCTATTTACGTTTTGAAATTTTTGATTCTTTACTCATATTTTATTTTACATCGTTTCTTTATGATTTATTTATTAACAATCTGATAACGTCTATAAAAAAATTAATTATTTCACACGGATGACTTTCATCGTACATATGACACCGCATAATCAAGTTAGCATTTTGAACTTCTACGTCCAGCATGATTACAGTATTAATGTGTGTTCTTTTTTTTGCATAGATATTTTTTCAACCTCGACGAAAGTGTCGAATAGCAAATTGCCGATTGATAATATAATATGGTTGGTATAATTGATAACACCGAACTTCATAGATACGTATAATAATACGTATATGTATGTTACATTGTTTCCGCAATTTCCTTTGAATATTCTCAACTGTTGCAATCAATTTTTCAATTGAGTTTGAAACGTGCTTTTTAAGCAACATTCAAAAAGGTGTATGAACTATTCGGTGATAAGATTTCTTCTCTACTCTTTGGCTACTTGTGAATTGCTTCTGTGTGCAAATTCAATGTATTCCAGCCCACATACATACATACGTAGCCAATTAAATGTGTCTATTTTCGCGATAGAAATCATTTTCAGGCACCGATTACAAGCCGAAGCGAAACCATTTTTCTATATGCAGTGAAAATTGAAATTGGAAAATGACAAGATGTGCAACACACTAAAGGAAAACTCTTTAGCTAGGCAATATTTGTAGCACAAAACACACACACAGAGAAACAGAATGAGAGTGATAGAGAGAGAGAGAAAAAATATATATATCGCTATAGAGTGTATAAAAGTCATTTGATGAATGGTACAAAGAACATCTTGAAAAGATTAAAAGAATGAAAAACAAAGACTTGAAATGGCGTTGTCATCTCATCACTTGCGTTTAACATGATCTGCTTTAGCACACACACAAAATAATTGTGTGAAGCAAATGAGATAGAACGGAAATATTGAGGGGAAGTGTGTTTTCAACGTGTGAAAACTCCTTGTATTGTGGCTCGTGGCAAAAATTTACAGATTTACATTGCGTCCCTCTCACTTTGTCACAGTAAAAAAGAATGTTAAATTTCCTATGCGTGTAATATCTTTAGCACTTCTCATTTTGTGTGTGTTTTTTTTTTATTCATCTTCTTAGGCCTTCCGCTATCCTTCCAGTATTAAAAGTGAGATACACAACATAATAACAAGATCATTGGCGAGTGATAAGTACCTTATACTTAGGCGTTAGAGTGTGCAATGTATTATCACAATCAGCTTAAAGTAGTAGAGTTATTATGCGTGCACTTCGCACAATCAGCTCAAGTGTGTCTGCGCTTTTCTCTTCATAATTTACACACATTTCACCTCATACCACTTTGGTTTGATCGAGTTTACAGTAGCACAGCATCTTTTCTTTTTAACTGGATTTCATTTCATTCATATACACACACCGGATGAAAAGCAACAAGAAAAAGTGACGAGACACAAGTGATTGATATGCAATAAAATGAATCTTAAGCCCGACTGCGAACACGAGAAAGCGACGATACACAAAATGCCCGCACATAAAATGCAATTTTTCAATTGCATCGCACGCTCTTGCTAACACACTACAAGAAAAAGAATCTAATTGTTGCTATATATTTTATCCGGCACAGGCATAAAAGTATTGAAAAACAGCAAAGAGATGTACAACGTGTTCGAGTGCACGTCCGTGATCAAATAATAAATTATGCATCAATGTTCTCTTGAATATCGCTTGTGCATGTCTGCATTTTGTCTCTTTGTCCCATTTCTGACGATTTCCTCTGATACAAATTATCCGCTGTTTCGATAAGAGCCGTTTCTATAGCTGGCCGCAATCAATTCAAATGTTCCAAATGAAAGTAATTCTTATCGAACAATTTCGATGACATTTCAATGGATTGTTTTTGAAAATACGAATATATTTGTTCGAGTATATAAAGAAATTTTGAATATTTTCAAAATTCAAACTATAAAAAAAAACAATTTGTCCAAATTTCATAATTCAGATGACTGAAGAACATGAATATTCATGGCCAACCTTACTCAATGTATTGATTTCGAAATTACCGTCACATCTCTATGGATGGAAGTATTCGTCAAATTCATTCATGCATTCATTCATCGGGATTTTGGAGGAAAATAAAACATGCATTTTTCACACATCGAGTATTTTGCCTCACAACTTTAGCTTAGAATTCATGCTTTGAATGGAGCTTCGTGTAGAAATGCATGATTTTAACCCCGAACACGAACATTTGTGTAAGTCGAACGAAATGCTGTAAACAAACAAATTTATTCGAATGTTAAACGTGAATTTTTGGCCACAAAAATCATAAGCATTTGCTTGTTGATGTTCAACCATGCAAGAGGTAAATTCGCTCAAATATTCGGGTGAATAATTATAAAACCACAAACAATATCGGTGTGCTTAGATCTAATGTTATTTTTTTTTTTTTTTGTTTGTCGGCTGATGATTTTCGCATCTGCATTTTCAACTCTTGGTTTTCTCTCTCTCTCTCTCTCTCTCTCTCTCTCTCTCTCTCTCTCTCTCGCGTAATATTCACATTCAAAAGACACATGCAGAGAAAGAAGGCGCAAAAGAGAGATAGAGAGTCAGAAACCGAAACAGACACAAGCAAAAGCACTTTCGCATCAAAACAAAACAAAACCTTATTTTGGCTCTTTTGCATCATCACCGACGACGAATGACGATGAAAATACAGAAATGCTTGTTTGCTTCTTCGCAAAAGTGAGCCACTGTGATTAAGCGCAATGAAATCCGAAATTTATGAGAATCGAGATTACGCGGTGTGCGTGTAAAGCATGTTACATCGCTAAAAGTTAATTAATCCGATTAAATGGATTGCATTTATATGTACTGTTGTTGTCGTTGCTAGTATTTTTGTATGTATTTTAGAGTGTGTGTCTCTTTCTCTACTCCCCATTTTTGTGGCAAAATGCATATATACGTACAGTTGAAAATGTTGTAGTGCGTTGTACCGGTTCAGTGTGTTTTTGAACAATTTCATCTTCCTCTTTCTTTTGGCTCCATTTCTCTCGGGTCTTCTACTGTTGTCGTCATTCTCCAATTTATCTATTGCCAAATGGTGGTAAATGTGGCATATCTTTTATGCTTATCTAAATAAATTAAAATTTTTATGTGTCTTTAAGTCACGTTTACATTTCTCGCAAATATGTTGGGTGCGGATTTGCATCCTTGAAAACAAAAACCAAAATATCATTGCGAATTCACATCGTTGTCGACTGTCACTTGACTCCAAAAAGGTAATGAACATCGAGAATTTGTTGCTTTTTACTCTGAATTTTCATCGCTCTCTCTCTCTCTCTGGTTGTCGGTCGTTGCATTTGAATATAGCGATTAATTTAGTCGTTTCGTGGTAAGCTTGTTAGCGTAAAGTTAAATCTCGAGATTTTCAAAATGAACACACAAATATGCAAGCATCTGATGATGCTGAAAATCAATTTTTCGTATCGGATAGTTTGAAATTGATTCAAATGTTCATTTGCTGTCTCTCTGTCTTTCTCTGCCCGTCGCTCTGTACAAATGTTTGACATTGTTCCGTGCTGCAATTTTAATTATGTAAAATTCATTTTGCACGGTAATGTGTAAAAACAAATATTATTCGAGATAATAAATGTTATGGGGTATGTGCGTAAAACGCATAAATTATCATAGTTTGTGATAAAGCTAAAGCAACGTTTTATTATGTGAATTACGGTAATAAACAACGCACATTCAACAAACACCAAACACTTTACAAACATAACGTACGCGATCCTCTCGCATATTTCAATTGCCATAATCTCAATCATTGTAGATGGCAAAGGTTTGCTGACGTTTGCCACAAAACATGATTGTGCGATGTTCATTTTTATTTTATTGTGCACAGAAAAGTCGGTTAAATTCAACGATACATTGGCGCTGGTTGAATGAATGTTACTATCAGGATTCAATTATTAATGATAAGCATTATCAAAAACTATTTTTTTTTTTCATTTCTCAATTACAATAATGTAGATTATACGCTTTTCAATTGATTGATTAATCATTTATAGTTATGAGCTGTCACTAACTGTCGTAGATTTTCTCACGTTTTAAATGATGAAAGAGAATTCACGATAATTAATAATCATGATGTAAAAATTAGAAGTGGTTGAGCAATTTAAATATGAAATTATCGTAATAAATTTCAAATGAAAAAATCAACTAATTACTAACCACTATTATCTACTTGATGGTTTTTTTTTTGGTCCAAGTATCTCAGTAAAATCTAAAGATTTATTTGCTTTCCGTGCATAAAAGATATCCTTTTCATACCAAACAGAAATAAAATATACAAAATCGTGGTTCATTCATCATTTGATAAATCATTGATGCTATTCAGATTTGTTCATTTTTGTTGTTGTAATTTCGTTTGGATATTCAATTTAAAGAGTTCATTCAACATTTGAAAAAGGAATGAAAAAATTGTAACAGATTTTATTTCAAATATTTGAATGCATCCATTTTCACTTATGATACACAATCTCTGTAAACATATGTGTTTATAAGCGTACACACACACACACGTAGCACGTATGTGGTATTGTGCAATCTGTCAAAATAGCCACAAGTTTATATTGTCAATAATATAAACAACTGCTCCGTTTTGACAGTTTGAATTGGTGTTGTTCTTTTTTCTACTGCTCTAACATTATTTATCTATTGGAATTTTAATTATATTTCGAAATATTCGTTTAATGTTAGTGATTTGGTTTGAATTGATAGAAAATGAGTGCCATAGACTATTTGAAGAAGGCGGTCGAATATGATATGAATGGCAGAAAATTGGAATCGCTTAAACTGTATCAGTCAGGCATTTCAGCATTACTGGAAATATGCAAAAGTATAAAATCCCTTTTTTTATTATTATCATATAAAAAATTGTGATTGACGTTTTCGTTTAATTTCCCCGTTGGCTTCTTTAAATTGCAGCCGAAACAAATCCGGAGAAAAAACTACATTTTCAGCGAAAAATTGACGAATACATGACACGAGCTGAACAAATTAAGGCCACCATAACTGAACAACGTAGCCGCGGCGAGATTATCGATAAAATTCATATCATTGCAAATGGAACCGGTTATGGTTACGAAAGAATTTTCGGAAAATATTTGAATGATAGCGTAAAAGAGATTTCATTAGAGGAACCATATCTTAGAGAGTATTATCAGGTATAGAGCATTATCAGCTTTAATGTTTTGTTGCATTCACAAATTGAATGAATGGTGTCAATGCACTATTTTAAAATTGATTGACTCATTTTTTTTCAGTTGATCAATCTGGTTCGATTTTGTGAGCTGGTCGTGCTGAAGTGTCGAAATCTGAAATTTTTGAATGTAACAACAGTGGCGATTCCAACTGGAACTAACCAACACAACGATCAAAAAGCAGCATTTCAAGCATTAACAAATGATTTAAAAAGCCGTAACATTACATTCAGCATTGATTTCTCCGAACAACTTCACGACAGACAAATTATGTAAATATTCATGGTTTTATTTTTCAACAATAATAATACAGTTTTGATTAAATATATTCTTTTTGTTTATTCACCAGTTTAAGCAATGGATATATTATCAAAATTGGACGCGGTTTACATTATTTTCTTCCAGCTGATAAATTTTGCTTGGGACAATACAATTTCGACTTTCGCAAATGCAAAGAAACCAATATTGATATATTTTATTGTCCAGAAAATAAAACTTCGTGATAGCAACAGATTTAGACCAGATATTTCGTTATCAAGATAAGACACATTATTATAAAAAAAAAGAGAAATGATTTGTTACAACAATCATGAAAAATGTGTTCAATTGTTCTATTTAAAAATAAAATTATTCGATTTGTTACAATGGACTATTACAAAACTGTTGAATTGAACGAAAAAAGTATTTTCATGATGAAAAAAAAGTTTAATTAAAACACTTGAACGAAATCGATTATTCTCAAAGTTTTTCAAGTCATTTTATTTCATACGATCACAGTATTGGTATTCCTTTTCGATGAATGACATTAAGTCTTGAATTAAAATAATTTCTAGAAATATTTGAAACTACATCGGGTTTGTCGTCAATAATTAATTACAACGAAGATTGTCATTGAGCAGTATTCATTACTAGGTCTACCTCCAACGATTCGACAAGCCGTTTGAAAATGTTTTATTAAGCATCTGTTTTTTACTGTCATAAATTATGACTCATAACGTTGTTGGGATACTTTCGGAATTATAAAATAATTAATTTATTTTTCGGTTGATACATTTTTATTGTCATATTAGAGCTAAACACAGAATAATATTTTTAAAATCTGAATTCAAATGGAATTGTAATATTGGTGGAGTTTATGGAGTTTTGGTGAACAATCACAATTTTATCAGCTTACATCAAACATATAAGTGGCTGATAATAAAAGTGAAAATAGCCAATCTATGTTTGTAATAAAATGTCATACCAAAGACACTTTGGAACGATCTCTTACTTCGAAACCGCTATTTCCATTTTCAGTTTCAGCCAATGTAGAATCTGTTATACAAATACGAAATAAAATTAAATAATGACTATACTTCTTTGACAAGCACAAAATGACTAATGTAAATAAAAATGATTATTAGATCTGATTTCATCACAAAGATAATATTTCAAATATTATAAATAGTAAGTGCACTTCAAATTTACGCTTTAAAAAATGGATAATAAAATGTGGTACAAAATATACTGGCATTTTGTTTGATTTAAAAACAAAAGACTGTTTAAAATTGTATGGCTAATGCATTTAGTCTATGAAAAAATGAAAATTGATTCAATGGACGAGTGGAGTACTCGCATTTGTGAATCGTTGGATATATCGAATTTTTCCATCGTTTTATGGAAGAGTGGACCTTCGAATCGAATCAAATCCTGAAATAATTTATAAACAAAATTAGTAAGTATTCACGGAAATAAGCATAAGTTTTGAAAACCGATAATTACTGTCATTTCATGTAGACCACAAACATCCAGGCAATGAGAGATCAAAACGTAGATTTTTACGTACAAATGCGCGATGCGAACGTAATCAGCATTAGGAGTTTGTGGATAGTCAATTTTGGCTGAACCAAGATTACGAATTTTATGTTCCGTATATAAAATGGCATTGGCTTGTTTCGCCGTCAATTCTTCTTGCTGCATCAAATAAGAAATTATTGTTTTTTTTTAAGTTGAACCATTCAGATTTGAGAAATATATTTGTTTGATCATTCAAATAAAAATGTCGTTAATTGGCCAAAGTAAAATTTAAAAAGAAATGGCAATATTTATACCTGAACTAAATATTTTAGTGTAAGAATGACCACCATAAATTCTTTTTTCTCCAAAAATTTCTTCGGAAAATCATCGTCGAGATCAAGAACCCAATTGAGCAGATTCCAGCGAGATTTATCAAAATTACGCTCCTTATTTTTGAAGATCAAATCAAATAATTCCGGCAATTTCACTGAAATGAATACATTCATTTTATTCAAATAATATCGAATTTTATGCGGAAAAATGATGAAACAATTTTTACTTGGTGGATAGATGATTTTTTCTTCGGTGACTTTGAACGGTTCATCATGTGCATGTTTGATGCAAATTTTGCGTGTGTCCCGACGTCGTGCGTGGTCTTTCAATAAAATGCCACATAATTTCATTAAAATGGGTACCACCAATTCCGTATAGCTCTTGGACTTATAATTACGGAAATCAATGAATTCCACATCTTTTACATTGAATATATCGTCCACAACCAGTTTATACATGAATGCGTCATGTTTTTTACAAAATTTCCAAAATGACATTTTCGGTTCCGGTTCATCGTTAAAATTTATATCATAGCAATTTAACCCATTTTCAATGGAGTTCAATTGTTCAGGTGTGCAATCTGGTCCAAAAATATCACAACTGATGCGTTCCAAATCGAAATTTGGCTTATTTTTAACCATTCCCATTGGTTGACGTTTTACGTACATTGAAACATTCCAAATTTTTCCGCGATTTTCGGTAGTATTTGATGCAACCAATTTATTTATCCAATCACCGATGACATAATACGGAAGAAAATTGGATCCACACAATGCACTCAACAATGGCATTTGATAAATATTTAACTGTAGTTTTTCGAGTAATTTATGCCTGCAATAACGGATGCCAGTTAGTGTCTTGATGTTTATGCCGTTGGCCCTCCAAAATTGAAAATCACCTTAAAATCCATTATTTAAATTAGATAAACATTTATAAATGGTATTTAATTTGTGTATCACCTTCGAATGCCATGAAATCCGTATCATTGGAAATGATCGCCAATACTTCGTCGGCATGTTGTTTTGCATAACGTGCAATTTCTTGATTATGCCGAAAGAGATTCACATAGAAATCACCGTAACGGCGCACCAGCTTCTTCAGATTATAATCAAATGCCAATGACATACGAATGTCCGTTGAAAATTTATTTTTCTCATCCAGATACGCTTTCAAATCGGATTTCGATTCGAGTTTGTCGAATATGGTCAAACAATTCATATATTCAGATTCCCGTTTTGGAATAAAACTGCAACATAAAATTATACATGTATAAGCGAATGACAATCAGAATAGTGATAGAGCTGATATTGGCACCGTAGAATTGCGTGTAGAAGTGAGTGACCACGCCCAAGCGTAGCCGATACCAGCTCTGAATACTGCAAATGTATACGATTAAAATAATTCTTACAATTGAAGGTCATCGGTGTACTTGGTGCCAGCCATAAAAAATACCAATTTGACATTGGTCTTTTTTAAATTTTCCAAAAAATTACGCAACATTTTATTGTAATAATCGAAACGGCCACCCAGAATCACACCAATTTCATCACGTTGTACAAAAATATGGGCTACTTCCTTTAAATCAATTAATATTTGCGGCACTTTTCCATTGTTATCGCTAAATTATGGACACATACTCAAATTAATTAATTAATTTTCACTTTCAAAAATTCAAAATGTTCTATGTTTTCTACTTACATTTTCCAATTTTCAATCTCGTCATGCATATCAATCCGATCGATGATATTCTTTTCGAATCGAGTTATAAAATTATTAAGACCTTTAACACCCATCTTTTTGTTGTCCTTATGGTTCGATTATACTAATTTTCCTTTGCCGCCGGTAATGTATTACTTTCGATCTCAAGTTATTTTTACTGCAAACATTCAATATGATCATATTGTGTTTGCACACTTTTGTAAATAACTTACGTGTTCATTTACAAATGGTTCAATATATTTAGAAGTGAATCTATGAAATCTTATGCACTCATTGTGAAATACGCATTAAATTCAAGTTATAGCGACTACTTTGTTTTTTTTTTTTTTTTTTTTTGAACTTTGTTTATTCGTATCAGTATTCTATACAATACAAATACAAAAACACAAACACACATACAAAGGCAGTGTACACCATACACTGTACAATTTCATTTGACATATGATTTTGACAGCACGTACGTGTGTTTATAATGTCAAGATTTTATGGAAATGCCGGCATGCTATTTTAAATTCAATTAAAATTTGTAGAATTTTTTACATTCTTTTCGAACCAATTCTCAACAAATTAAGTCTAGTGAAAATCGACGATGATTTTAATCGATGGAAGTGTCATGGAAGGGGTAAGTGGTGATGGTTCTTGCAAATTGATAAAATTTTACTAAAATTTCTTTGTTAGGGTGGCCAAATTTTGAGAATGGCAATCTCATTAAGTGCATTACTACGAAAACCAGTGAAAATAACCAAAATTCGAGCGGGACGGAAAAATGGGGGACTGGCTGCTCAGCATTTAAATGGTATGCTCTCGTACATCAATATTCAATATCCTTTCGTGATGTTTACCATTAAATTTATGTTTCGTATAATGATTAGGCATTGAGTTGGCTCGAGACATATGCAAGGCATCAGCTAAAGGATTGTTCATTGGATCGTCTGAGGTTGAATTCAGTCCAAACAAATTAAACGGTGGCGACTATACAGCTGATACCAAAACGGCTGGGTAAATTAGAGAATGCTGCAAAATCCATTTTCAATGCAGTTTGAAATAAAAAATCATATCTATTTTTAGGAGTGTTGCATTGTTACTTCAAGTTTCATTGCCATTGATTCTATTTGGTGATGCACCATCTACTCTACATTTGAAGGGTGGAACAAATGCTGAAATGGCACCACAGATCGATTTCATGACCGAAATATTTCGACCAAATTTGGAACGATTTGGAGCTACATTCGATTTTACTTTGGAACGTCGCGGGCAAGTATAGATGCTGAAAAATCCAATTGATCGCTCACGGAAACGAACTCATTTTTCTAGATATTTTCCAAGAGGTGGCGGATATTGTATAATTAATGCCCGACCTGTGAAATACCTGCAACCAATTGATCTGACAAATGTTGGAGATATTACAAAGATATTCGGATGGAGTTTTGTGGCTGGGTCGTTGCCGGTTCATGTGAGTGCTTTTTTTAAAAGTCCATTCTACTGAAGCATGCGTGAATGTGCTAAATGTGATGTATTTTTTTCCATAAGTTAGCGGATGAAATGATGAATGGTGCCAAAAATGAATTGAATCGATCGTTGAAAAACTGTCCAATTGATATTGAAGCATATAAAGAAACCAAAGATGTTGCCAAAGACAATGCATCTGGAATAATGTACGATAAGATGGAAAAATATGTATTTATATTCTGAATATTTAATGGATTTCGATTTTTGTTCGCCTCTAGAATTGGATACGAAACAACGACACATTGTATATTGGGTGCATCAGCACTCGGTACTCGAAACGAGAGAGCATATGATACGGGAAGAAAAGCAGCCAATGAATTGATCAAATGTTTAGGTAGTTGCGTCGATGTACATGTACAAGATCAGCTTATAATATTTATGGCATTGGCACGAGGAGTGAGCCGAGTCCGATGCACCTTACCACTAACAATGCACACAAAAACCGCTATTTACATTGCTGAACTCATCACAGAAGCTAAATTCAATGTGATTGATAATGGAGCCACTGGAATTATTGAATGTAATGGGATTTCCTTCGAAAATGGCTATTTTGCCAGAAATGAATAAAAAATACATATTTTATGACGAGAAAAGGTTTCTTTTTTATTCACCCACAACTGCTTCACACTGCCTTCATGATAGAGCCAAAGGAAAATTTATCACCATTGATGTTAATAGAGATTTTTTATTTTTATTTCATTAAAACCTACAATTTTTACTTATTTTCGAAAAAAATTCCATTAATTACTGTATACGTTGGTTTCTTCGTTTGTCTTAGTTTTATATTTTGAATTTTCTCTTGCATTTGTTGATTTATCTCTAATGCACGATTTAATTTGTGTTCAATTTTCTTGAACTTTTTCGTAGTTGATTTTTTCAATCTTCGACTCCATTCAGGTTGTTTATATTCAACAGGCTTACTGCGATTAATAGAAGTTGCATGAATATCTCGTCCGTAAGCAATATCAATTCGGGAGCAATAAGTTGATGTATTAACTAATAGTTAAAAACGATTCATATTTTAAAAAATCACTTGGGACAAAATCTTTTTATTAAAAAATTACCATTTCTCAGGTATTTTCTGAGCTCCTCCACTTTTTGATATCTTTCCGTTTCGTTCATGTTTTCGTTAGAAAAAATTTGAATTCGTTTTAATTCTTTGTCGATTTAATTTACTATCGTAAGATGTGGAATTGACTCTTTTCTGAGCTAAAGAAATAATGACTGAACGGTCCAATTATTTGCTAAATAATAAAACGGCTTTGTTAATGGCTCATTATTTTATTGCAATTTTGCTGGCACTGTATGAAACACGAAAGTAATTTCGCCGATTTGTTTTGTTTGCAAGCAAACACACAAACATAACAAAATAGCAAACATTCCCGATAAAATTGTTTGACGATTGCCAATTATAAGTGACGAATCGGTTGAACTATAATCAAAGAATTGCACGTGACAATCTGATGGGCGACGTTTCTCTATTTTTAAGTGAACATTGCAAATATAAATCATCGAATGAGATTAAGAATGGGACATATTTTTTTGATTTCATAAAAATGTGTCGACATAATATGCCATTGAAGTACACAATACAAAAGCATACATCGCCTTCTATGATTTGTTATATTTCTATGTTCCCATTGATTCTACAATGAAAATCAAGAAATATTGTCCCATTTTTATTCTCATTCATTGAAATAGATATGTTGTTTTGAGAAAGACGCTGTTTGGTTGCAAAGGTGCTTTGACCGATGACACTTGCTTCGAAATATTCAACGACTTTTCATTCTTTGGCAGCGGACTCTGTTTATGTTATTTTCAAGAAGATCATACTTTCAAATTTGGTCTTATAACTCGAGACAGCATCGCTTCATCATTTTATTGGTGCAAGCAAAAGCTGCAGTATCTATTTTATAGATGCATTCCTCAGAATTAAATTCGATCAGATTATGTCTGTGAATTTGTTTTAAGCTTTCCAACTGCCTGTTCAAGAGCTCAAAATCAAAATGATCAAACAAAAATACTAGTTCGTCAATTGGTCATTTGATTTTAAACTAATAATGAATATATGCAATAAAAATTAAAACAAACGCAATGATGATCAAAACTGTTCATATCGAATTGTTTATTTAACATTCTTTATATTTTCTACAATGCGTTTTTTTTTTCATGAAATTCCTAAATGTTAGTGTTTCGATTGGATTTGTTTCCGAAGTATCTAAAAGAAAATATCGCCTAATTTGATCCAATTTCGAAAACATTCGACTGGGCCCAGATAAATTAGTCAGAATGAAATTGTAAATTAATTCGCTAAATATGCATGAAAAATTGTGTGAAACTGGGAAATGATATTCTCTAATTATGAAGTTCATGCAATTTTCAAATAAATTTTTAATTTTTGAGAGCCTTAAAATACTTTATTCATTCACTTTATTCGATTAAATTATTTTGAACTCAAATGGCCTCCGTTGGGAATGGGCTCGTATCTTCGAACAAAAATCGTTTGGTACAAATTTTTTATCTCTTTCTCTCTCATTTTTTTTATACAAACATGCAATTTTGTTTAAAAACTTCTTTATATTTCGTACGCTGAATCGCATTTATACTCGTCCAATATAAACCAACACAATAAAAAAAAATACATTTCTAAATGAAGTGAAAAAAGGACCAATGATTAAAAAAAATGTGCAAAGTTTCTTCTGTGGAAGATGTGCATGTGTATGCGTGAATGCGTTATCGTAAATGTGTTCATTCTTGATTGATGATTTTTCTCAAAATGTTGTGGGATCTTTCACAAATTAGAGCCATTTCACCTTGTTTTACCGATTTGTATTTGATATAGACGTTATTTGTTTTTGACGTTGGTGCGTTCAATACGTATGTAATCAAATCTTTGACAATTGGCCGCAAGTATTCTGCACTGTACGTACTGTAAAACTCCAAAACTGAATTCCACAAGGTGTCAAACTTGATGGATTTGTCCGGACACATTAGCGATTCCATAATACACAATGAGACATACAATGATGCTGCTGCAATCTGCAAATAAATCATCGAAAAGGTATGCATTCAATAAGGTTTTGATATAAAAAAAAAACAACGTTGATTTTTGTCACTTTTGTTATTTACCTCAGATGGCAGGTATTCGGAAAGTCCATAATCGATGGCACCCAGCTCAATGAAATATTTCGATAAAATGTGTATTTGACTGTCGGCTTTAGCAGCCTTTGAGAATCGACGTAAGAAGTGAATTGCAGTTGGAGCTCCCATTTCAAATTTCAATTTCTGAAATAGATATTCGATTGAATTAGAATTTCATCGAAATTGATTTAGTCACGAAGACTTTGCTTACCTTCAAAATGTGCTTCTCCATTTGAAGAATTTGCTCTTTTGTGTACGTGTTGTCTGTAATATAAACAAAGTCATTCACATCTGGTGGGTATAATTCTTCATATTTTGATGCAACAAATAATGCAGCCACGCCAACTAATTGAAGATTTTTCCGTGATGTCGTTTTGACCGTCTGTAAACAAATTGCGACATTGAAACAAACGTGATATATTTCAATTTAATATCGATGGAATGCACTTACTTGCAAATAACGGTCGATGAGTGACACGGTTATATGGAATGTTTCCTGAGTAAAATGGTATTGCGTGTGTACTTCACTTATCCAATCCAATAGAACTGTACGCATTCTTGGATGTACCTCTGTTTGTCCATCTAAATGATTCTTTCGAATGGCATACTTTTGTTCCATTTCAAATAGATATGCGTAGATATCATTCACGTATTCGCATACAAGCAAGCAATTTCGTTCGTCACCATCATCAATATTTAAACCGTCAAACTAAAATTGTTTCAAATAGCAATGATTATATGTTCCTGCCGCATCGACGCATCGTCGATGATTTATGAAATGTATGCAAAGATAATGGTATTACTTACGCCATTGATCAAACCATTAGAGTACGATGATGAAAACGATGGTGGACAGAATCTTGATTGAATGACTGGATTGTCAGCGATTAGTTTTGGCGCTTCTGCCTCTGGTTCCGGTTTGTTGGTTGGCACCTTTTTCTTTAGAATTTCTGATGAATTTGCAGTTTTCGGTAAGATCGTTGCAAGTTTGGCGCGTCGTGTCAATGTGCTATCTTGCCGTTTCATAACTGGCTTTTCAATTTTGACTTCTTTGAGTGTTGCCGTTTCCGTTGATTTGACGCGCACCAATTTTGGACCAGATTGACCGGAACCATTTGAACCGATGCTCGTGATTGAGGTCTTACTGACTGAATTGTTGCGTAAAAGTGGCTTTCGTAGGGGCTCATTTTTCCAATGAGTGTCAACACGGGCTTTGACGTTCTTTAAATCAATTGTATTCGGTATATTTTCAGCCGAATTTTGACTGATCAATTTTTTATCATTCAAAATGCGCGATTTTTCAGTACGATTCACCAAATTACCAAGTGCCGCACGACGTGTTGTTGTTGTTGTTGTCGCTGTATGGAGTGTCGTTTTTTTGACACCAACTGACAATGCATCTCCATGAGTGATTAAATTCTGTATGAATGAAAACAAAAATTTTTTTTTTTTAAATATTCTGAGTGGAATAAACAAAAATGTAGAATTCCACGGTTAAGAAAACTAACAGACAATATCTTGAACTAACTGGTCAGTTGAGCTGACAGTACGTTAGCCAGCTAAATGGACTTAAACAATAGAAGTTATTGTTATAATGAACAATCACTTCTATTAAAACAAGAAAAGTGATTCATCATTAAAACAATAACGTCTATTGTTTTAGCCCATTTAGCTGGCTAACGTAATGTCAGCTCAACTGACCAGTTAATTCAATATATTATCTGAAAACTACTGTCACTTTTATGTAAAACAAAATCATCAAACAAATGAACGATCAAAAAAGGAGAGATAGAAAAGAGAACAAATCTTGGGGAGGCAGAAAAAATGAAACTTCCGTGTCGAATGGTACACCAGTACACGCTACGAATCTATATTTCATTGTAATTAACATATACATTGAGTCGCATAGACTAAGCAAGCGAGTACCGTTTACTTGATGCTTAGCCGTACCCCTTATTGTTGACAATATATAAAAAATTAGGTATATTATATCGAAACAAATTAAGAAAATTCAATGAGTATTTTGTTCAATGAACACAAAACAAAACCGAGAAACTGAAAAAAATGATAAATTAGCGTCTATTAATGATTGCAATACTTTGCTTCTAAAATGCATAAAACTAGGAATTTCAATTGTAGAAAAAAGAACTATCGCGAAATAAAGTAGAGCAAAATTGCTTGGCTTGTATGAAATGTGAAAAAACGAACTTTTATTCCATAAAAGCCGGACAAATTTTAACGATGGCCACTGTACCAAAGCGTGTGCATGTAAAAAAAAAAACAAAGTACTAGAGTGCCGTTTTTGTTTCTCTCTATTGATCACATTGGCACATCACCGACGATAAATCATAAATTTGTATCTAACGTTACAGTCAGCCAATCCTCTCATTGAATTTGACTAACAACACGAAAAATAACCAAAAATGATGACATCTTCATTTTTTGGCGCTAATAACAGCATGCCACGAATACATTGTTTATAATGAAATAAAAAATATCTCGTTCAATTTAAGAGTTGCGACGTTATGCAGAACCCGATAAATCACATTTATGTAAATCAATGTAAAAAAAGATATGTTTTTCCCGTTAGATGAGCATCAATTACATGACATGAATTGCGTCGCTTCATTGTATTCTTGAGGAATTATGATTTTTCCGATCGAATGAAAAATGAAATCGATGTAATGCTAATTTCGATTACGAATTATATAGAAAATAAATCTATTCTAGATACAATAGCTTAAAAAAATATATAGTTTACCTCATCAACGATAGCTGCAGCCCGACGTGTTGCCATTTTTTTCGAGTTTGTTCGTTAAAGTGTTAATTTTGAATGAAAACTAATTATATTTGTTGAAATGTATTTACAAAATATCGCTCTGGCGATTTTAAACTAGCTTTAATATTAATCACAAACACAAAAAATCTAATATTAAAAAAGAAATCTACGATCAGAATTTTCTAATTTTTATGTGAACAGACCCGATGCAAAAACTGGAATGCAGTTCGCTTGATGTTCCGACTAATTCGTTAAGCGAATTTTTTCAAATGTTCAAAGACCAAACTATCCACTCACTCTAATTGGTCGGATAGATGCACTTCATTTGCAATCGACGTGAAGTTAGTGACACGCACTAAACTCACCACATGCTATCCCAAACAATATAGCTCGGATAATACATAGATGGCGTTATGATTATATTTCCATGAAAATTACATTTTGCGTGTAATTTAATCACATTACTTATTTTTATTTTATTATTTAAAAGTTATATTTTTTAGTATGTATATACTTGGGTTTTTTACTATAAGCAATGCATTTCTGAAATTGTAAGTGGACCCGTTTCATTTGTTCACAAAAAAAAAACTGTACCAAAAACATGCCAATCTGTAATAAAATGTATTGATTTTTTGGGAAAAATGATCTTTTTTATGAAAAAAAATGCAATTTTTATCAACAATATTAAATTTAAAATTTATTCGATTTTCGATGCTCCATAAAACCGAGCTTATCTACATTTCTATGCGCAAAAAATCGATAATATTTTCATTATCATTCATTATCCATTGATAATTGATGATAAGTTGTATCAAAATAACAATTTTATTGTTCTCTACCTAATTTTTGTAGTTCATATTGCATTGGTTTGGCGTGACAAATATAATTAATGGTCCAATCATCTTCGACACCTTTTGTAATTTCTTTAATGAATCGATAATTTGCAATGCTGTAGAATTTTTGAAAGTGGCTAAGTAAATCAGAACTTGGTCCCTTAAATATATCGGAAAACTCTATATTACACGCTTCATGATTTGCAACTGAATGTACAACTACCATAATTTCAACGAAAACTCGTGTTGTTTCATCATCATCGTCGTCATCATCGTCGTCATCTTGTTGTGTGATAAATTGAATGTTATGCGGAAAAATCCATGCGATCTCCTTTGAGTTGATCGAAAGTGATTGTCGTTGTTTGACTGACAATGTACCAACAATACGTCGCATTTTTTCAACTGTGTCGTCATCAACCATATCATGCATAGCTTTAAAATTAGCAGCAGCCAATAGATTTGACACAACCTATTGATATCAGACAATTTTATAGAAAATTAATGAATTCTACCAAATTATATGAAATTTGATTTTGAAATTGGTCATTACCGTTATGGCTTGTTTAGCACCATTGAGAAATTCCTTTATGTCGAATGTTCGATCATGAAAATATCGAAGCAAAAATATGGCTAAGCGATTTTTAACCATGAGATATGGAGATGGTTGATTCTCATATGCGTCATCGAATCCTGGTAATTCACAATCATCGTCATCATCTTTGTTTTCTTTGTGATTGCTTGAATAATTGCGACAAATGCATCCGAAATGAACATTGTGTCGTCGATGAATATTGCTGAACTCAATTGTTGACGTTAAATTTGGCAATGAACTATTTATTAAATTGACTGCATTTTTGGTACTATTTATCGTATAATATCTGGATGATGTTCGCAATGAATTATTCATATAATTGATTACACTAAATTTATACGCAATTTGATTTATTTTTTGGCAATTTGCTAGAAACATGTTTGGTTTTCTTTAATTCAATGCTTTTTACGTCTACTTTATTTTATTTTCTTGTCAAAACGTTTGACATTCTACAACACCAATTGGAATTTGTGGTGAACTATACAATTTTTATCCGAAACTATTGCGATTGGATGACATCTGTTGGAAGTAATGTTTACAGTCAGAAAAAACGTTATTTATTTTTGAAAATGTTCTTTATTAGGATAAAAAAGTACAAATTGTTCCAAGATAATTTAATTCTGTTGTCTCGTTTGAAGTTCATCCAGCATATTTGCATGATTGATAAACGATACTATCCAGTCGTCATTTGAATTTGGTGAAAATTCTTTGGTGAATGTATAGTTCAACATGTATCGAATGTGGAAATGCGAACTAAAAAAAGTGAAAAATATTTTAAAATAGCTTTATAAGGATCTCGAATCTGAAATCTCTTACATTGTAAAATCTTTTGAGCTGGCGTCAATATCCAAATCGGCCGTTAAAACCGCTTTGCATATTAGTGAAATATCAACACATGTGCTATCATTCTTTTCTTTTATCTCTATGGAAGACACTAAAAATTGTGGGATATCATTCATTTTAACCCGAAGTCGGGAACGTTGTTCGTCGGTCATTGTGACAATTACATGTCGTAGCCTATCAATGACTTCATCTGTCACCAAACCGTGCAACCCATCAAAATCAGCTGATGCCAACTTATCTGAAATAATCTAGAAATTTGGGAATTATCGGGTGAATTTCAATCGATTTTTTTTATTAACATACTTCGATGGCCTTCATGCTTCCAGCTTTGAAGTCGTCCAGAGAAAATTCTGAATCTAATGAGTTTTTGATCTTGCGTGCATTTCGATTGACCAAAAAATATGGGAAAAATGATGGGGCTATCACAATTTTATCGTCCACTAATTTGGGCAATTTTCGTTCATATTTTGAACCATCAAGTGGCTGGTGATTATTGTTGGTTGAGTAGCCAACAGCGTTTATCTGCTTCAGTCGTGAATGATTCAATGATAATTTCATATGTGTTTGCGATAATGATGAAAATGGCCTCGACACATAACTGATTGTTTGTTTCAATCGAAAAACATTCCAGGCAATTCTTTGGCTCAACATATTGGCCTTTTTTTAAACAAAATTATCTTTAAAAATTACTTTGACTACAGCTGTCAAAAAGAAATAAACAGTTTGACATCTCCATCTATCAATTGAAATACAATTCATATAACAGTTGTGTCATCTATTGTGACTAAAATGAAGTAGTGGAAATGCAAACAGAAATTACGTTAATTGAAGCAATTTTAATTTATTTCATATTTTTGCTCTAACAAGTAAAAAGATTTTGTTCAAATCAACAAAGGCCGTGCATTATTGTTGTTCTTTCTCTTTTGCTGAATTTTTTTGAGTTGAACGAATCTGACGTACTCTGATGATCGAAATCTATTTTAAATTTATACTTTTATATATACAGGTGAGTCAATGGCCAGTGGAACAATGCTTTGAATATAATTTTTCAGACAAACGAACTGTGATTACTACAAAAAAAGTAGTTGTTAAACGAAAAACCACACGTTCTGGCCAAAAAAACTGGAAACTTATCGCATGTCCTTGGAGTTCTTATCAAAAGAGGAGGGTCAAATTGTTTCATTTAACTAGACCAATTTTTCAACGCAATATTTCAAATTCATTAAATTCGGAATTCGAATTTGTCAACAAGATGTTATTTAATGATTTTTGCGTGTCGATAAATGCACCTCTTGTATTTTTTATGTGTTTTCATATATTTTATATTGGATTATTGGATTATTTTATATTACAGTACATTCGTTTTATTTGTTTGTTAGTGAAATATATTTTTATTTTTTCCCTTTGTCTTCAAATGACTTTTTAAAAAAGTTCATCTGATCATTCATTTGATCTTCAATGTTTGCATGATTTATGAAAGACACTATCCAATCTCCACTTGAATTTTCTGAATATTCCCTGGTGAATTTATAATTCAGCACATAAAGATTGTTGTCAACAAACCTAAAATACAAAACATGTGAATATTGTTCTTCTATTTGAATTGTATTGCTAAACTATGACTTACATGCTGGTTTGTTTCAGAAAATCGAGCGGAGATTTTTTTTCTTCGCTCGCAGTTAATTGTTTATAACCAAGAACCACTTGCAAAATCGTAAAAATATCAACGAATTTTCTATCCTCATCTTCTCGAATATCTATTGAAGACACAAATTGCGCCACAATATCATCTTCCAAGACACGAAGGTGTGAACGTTGTTCTTCGGTCATCGCCACAATAGGGTTTTGTAGATCGTCAATCACTTTGTCTGTCACCAAACCACGCAATCCATCAAAATCGGCCGATGCCATTTTATCGGATATAACCTACGAATGATATGATTATTCAATTTATCATTTCCATGTAAATATTTAACTCACTGCAACGGCTCTTTTGCTACCATCTATGAAATCGTCTAAAGAAAACTCGCCATCCAACTGATTACGGACCTTGATCGCATTAAATGTAACACTAAAAAATGAAAAAAGTCCTGGAGTCGCTATAATTGGTTCGTCCGATAGTTTTGGTAAGGCTCGCTTAACATTTTCGTTTTCTGATTGCCGCTCGTTATCTGTTGAATAAAAGCTACAACTCGGTAGACCTTGTGAATGCTTTTGCCATTGACTACATGGTAATCTGGATTGATTCACCGGTTGTTTTGTATTTGACAGCGATGAGAATGGCTGTGATGCATCGGCATTCACAAGCTCAACTAGCGGCTTCAATGAATACTGATTCCTGATAATTCTTTGGCTTCCATTTCGAATTCGGTTCAACATATCGGCTATTATTGTGTATAAAGATTTTCTTTGAAAATAGGTTACGTGAAAAGTCATATGTCAAAAAATATCAAAACACAATCACCATCGCCATCTATTATGCGAAATCGGAAGTAAGCTTTAAGATAAAAAATATTGCAAATAAATTATAATTTGTATTCATTAGCATTTTAATCCAGTTTTTATTTATTTATTTATAAATTTTTATTTTTATAGAGAAAAAAATGAATGAATCATTTAAAATTCCTTCTGGCGAAATAAATTGGAGGAGGGTCACAGAAAAAAACCAAAATAAATTTCAATAAGAATATCATATCAATTAGAGGTTGGAAACGGTCCGAATTCAAAAAATTCCCTTAACAACCCGTCTTTCAATTTCTTCGACGTATCTTTTTAAAATCGCCTTCCATCCGTTGAGTTTGAATAAAAACAACGTTTTTTGTAGGCAATAAAAATCATTGCGATTTTTTTTGTTTTTAATTTAAAAAAAAGAAGTTGATTGATCTATAAAATATTTATAAAATTCTAACTTAACTTATTGTTTAAATTATGAATGTCATCAAATGATATGTGTATTGGATTTATTAAATCAAGTTGATGTTCATTCAAATGCTCATCTGGAAATAGATAATTGACGGATATAATAAAACCAACCAAGGCTCTATCGAAAATAATGGCAATTTACCTTGTACGGGTGTCATCGTGATCACTAAATTGTTTACGATATTTTGTAGTAATTCCTTTGATAATCTTTCTGTTATGTTAACCGGTTCGAAAAATAAGAAATTCCGTTTACTTCGTCCATTATTTTGTGCATCATTTGATTGTGTTGACGAACGTCTTGATCGATACAGAGCCAAACTGATGTGTGACTCAACCAGTGGAATATTTCTTTGATCGAATTGTAAGCATTTTCCATTGACACAGTAACGATTGTCACTAGCCGCATCACGTGAACATTTTGTACCATATGGAAAGAAACCTTGATCACCGTTCACCAAATAGAAGCGATGTGATAGATACTCATCTTGACATGCAACTTTGCAACCGCGATCTGGATCAATTGAACTAGGCGCTATTTGCATCCCATTGCCAGACAAACCACGAACTTTACGCTGATACTTTTTACATAAATTTGTGGCAAACTCTTGTGTTGTTTCAATTTTATCGCAAGACTATCGGCCCAAAGGAAATATTCAACAGAGAGAGAGAGAGAGAGAGAGAGAGAGAGAGAACGATAGCACATTATTTCCTAATCTAGTGCGCATATCCGCTGTGATATATGTATATTTAAAATATTTACGATAAATTCCGCATTACAAAGTTGAATGTTTGTGGAATGATCTGATTTTGATGAAATTATTTGAATGCCCATGGAATTTTCCAAACAACTAAAATGACAACCCGATTTAACAATCCAATCATCTGCCGAGAATGTCGTTTGATTATGTAATTCACCACGATTTAGTCGCAATGCATTCGATCGAATTCGATTTAGCTTCGACTTTGGGAAATTATTCGGCGTTCGAAGTGGCTTCGGTAATTCAGGATCTGAACATAATGATGAGCATTGAACATAGTTGATAATTGTTTTTGTATACAGCTTTTAAAGTGATGAATGCACAAAATAAGAATGAGAATTAAAAGAATACTTGCCATTCCTTGTGTAACGTTGAACCAAACTTGCTGCTGATGGACGCATTTTATCGACATTCTTAAAATCGCGACCATTCTCAGTTACCGGCTCGCTGCTTGTGGTATTTTTTGTCAATTTTGCATTCACGATATTCTGAACACAAAACGATGGGTCCAATGTGAAATAATTGCTGGTTGAGTTATTACAGGAAAATTTCTGGAACGAATTTTTTAAGCACTTTTTTTTTTAAATTCAAATTTTGGGTTCAACATCTTCAAATTATGCATCAAAATGAATCAAGTCAAAGTTAAAATGAATGAAAAACTCAAAATTGAGTTTGCTCAATGGAAAAAGAGTTCATAAAAAATCGCTTTACCTCACAACGACCATTCACACAGAAGAAACTGTCGTCGATGTCAAAATTTTGATTCTTGCAAATTGTACCATCCGGAAATGTCCAACTTTTTGTGACCGGTTTTCCATTTTTACCAGCACAGTACACACGGCATGAATGTTCCGGATTATCGCTAACTACTTGCAATCCTTCACCCAATATGCTGGAATCGAACTTTTTTGCTCGTTCGCATATTTGATTTGCAAAGTCCAAAACACTCGTTCGTGGCACATTATAACACTGTTTTTGTTTTTTTCCATAAATACAACAACAACAAAAATGATAACGAATTTAATTCAATTTAGTCTACTTTGTTTTTGTATGGAAAGAAAAAAGTCACCTGTTTTGAAAAACATGTTTCGTATCTCTTATCCAAGCCAAAGCACTTCTTTCGTGACCATCTGGAGATTTCAAAAGGCATACATCAATTTTAAACTCTCATGGGATGTTATAATGGGTATAATGTACCTGTAGTCGTGACATGTACGACGGAATGTTTTTAAACCCGAGCTACCTTCTCTTAATCGCCCCGTTTCACCAAATAAACAACCAGATTCACATTCAGTCGGCTTTGACCACTCACTCCATGTCGATATCTGAAGAAATTTTATGACACACATTAGACACATCTATTGCAAAAACGATGTGAATATATTATGAATTTTGAAAAGAAAAATGAGCAATCGTAAAATATCGAATATGTTACGATCGCAATTTAAATGCCAATACTTCAATATCGTTTTCGTCCTCTTCATCCTCTTCCACATAATTTACCAGCGTCGGTCGATTTATGCTGTGTTCGGATTTCATGAAATTGCTAAATTTTCGATCATCAATTAAATTCGATTTTTCTGACGTCTCCGATGCTAACGGTTTCGCGATAGCCGTATACTTTTCAAAGGCTGACGTTTTTGCAATACAAACACCGCTTCGACACCACTATTTGAATGGGAAATAAGTGTAAGATTTCAAGTTAAATCACACGCAAAATGAATATTTTATTTCTTAAGGGGATCAAATGAATACCTTAGATTCTGCACAACTTGTTCCTTCCAGAGCTGGATGAGATGTCCATGTGTATCGATCTCTCTGGCAGTGTAAGTCACGACAAATCTCTTTAAGTGGCTGAGCCCGTGATCGTATTGAATCTTTTCCGTATTTTAACATACCTATAAATTCACATTCATTCATCAATTTCAAAAAAAAAAAAAAAAAAATCCAGAAAGAAAACAATTTTTTTCAGTGAAAAAAAAATCGCTTACATTGTTGATCAGCATCAAAACGTTCACCAGGATAAATCATTTCAGCACCGTGATCCAGTGTTGGATCGGTTTGGCCATGATCAAATAAACATTTCGCTTGACTAGTTCTGATTCATATTTGAAATGAGAAAATTGTCCACATAGTTTTATGAATTCATCTCAATTATTTGGTGCTGCAATTTCAAAAACTTACTCTAAAAATGACTTTAAATAATTTTGACTGCATTTTGACCATGTAATTTTGCCGCTGCCCAATGTCGGCGACATTATAAACAAGCTTGGATCACAATTATTTTCAGCGGTATCATGACGCATACCCAAACTGTGAAACAAAAAACAGGCGTGAAAGAAAAGGAAATAATTCATTCAATCTGAGATTGAGAAGAAAAGCAATTAAATTACTTGTGACCAATTTCGTGAGCAACGACAAAAACACTTTCGAAATGTTTGCCCTCGTTAATGGTGCAGCTGGATGTAGATGTGCACATTCCGGCAACTGGAGCCAAACCAACCACTTGGCTGCTTATTTTCCCATTTTTACTCACAACATATAGATCCAGGCCTGCGATTGACAATCGAACATTTAAATAATTCAATTGAATTCGAATAATAATCGATCTTACCTGTTAGAATAACCGCATGATCAAAATGAAAGATATTATCGTCGGCAACTGGATTGAATTTTCGTTGCCACATACAAAAACTATTCAAAAATATATCAATATCGCTGGAACGTCGCAATTCTTTTGGATCATTGTGTAGAATTTCCAATCGTTTCAATATAAAATTGATTTGATGGCCGAGCGATGGATGATGATACAGCAATTGAACACCATTGATCATAGCCATAACAAAGCGAATGAGATTTCCTTCGGTATTTTTGGGATAATTTTTTACCATGTGCCGAAATAGATCACGATCCACAAAAATGGCCGTTTCAACAAATAATACATGCGGAATTTTTCGATTTGAACCAGATGTAATGTAACGTCGACGTCGTTCCAAATGCATCGCATCTTTCGATTCTATTTGTTTTGATAATTTACTTTTAATATCATCTTGAAGTCTGTCTTCGTCAAATTTACCAGCTGCCAATTCAGTTTCATATAAAATGTGAGACGAACTTCCGAATCGCGTGGGTAACGGATGAATTATAAGATTTCGCGAATTTTGATATAAAATTCCTCGCTATTGATATGGGTTTAAATTAGATATGGCATTATTACTTTTTATTTAAATGTGTACGCTTTTTTTGCAGACCAATAAGACCATAAAAAAAAATTTAAAAAAAACAAAAATTTAAAGAATGTGTACTAACCACATTGCCATCGCATAAATCAATGGCTGAATTTTCATTGCGATAAAAGCAGTTCGAGTATTTTTCGGCCAATTTATCAAAATCGTCGATGAGTTGAGTTTGATTTTCGTCGCGTTTGATAAATACAAAATTATCGTCTAGTAACTTTGTCGATCGATGCAAATGCAAATCAATGCCATGCACACAATTGCTTCGATTCGATCGGTTATGGTTCGTATCCAATGCTGTTTCACAAATATGCAAAACAATTAAAAACATTATACTATACAAAAGATCCGGTTAAATAACAACAACAACAAAAAAAAACAGAGAATAATATTAACAATAATAGGCATTATAGTATTCTGGGCAAGTACCATCATCACCGCTGTTTAATTGTAAATGAATGATGTCTCGTACGGACCGTTGATTCCTCAATTTATGTTTTACATTTACGAGTTTGTATGGTTTCTCTGCAAAATGGAATAACAATCGTACAGCATTAATATAACAAAAAGATGGCAGAAAAAAACACACACAGCTTCATGGTTGGTGTTAATTAACGACATTCTCTCAGCTGATGTGATTGTGTCACCATAAAATTTGAATTTCATGTACTTGATGCGCTAATGCATCTCTTGCTATTGTGTATGTTTTTATTGATTTGCAAGTGCAGTTGAATTTTATGATTTTATGATTAATCCATTAGTTGAGCTCACGTGATTATTATCGAAGTGGTCAAATCAATCGAATAATATATATTTTCTATAATGATAGGTCATTTGGATAAATGTAATCTCCGTTGGTCTTATCCAAGGCCAGCTAAGAATGCGTTTATCGAATTACAAAAAGTGACGAATTCGAAAGGAAGAACCATTTCCAGTGATCTTACTTTCGAGTAAATAGTAAAACAAATCGAAAAAAGAAACACAAACAACAACAAAAGAAAAACACATCCAAAAACAATGCTACCATGCCTATCCCAGCGCAAGTGAGAGAGAAGTTCAAGTTCACTGATTTGTCGTTTTATCGACTATATTTGTTTGTTTTACTTTGTTTTTGGTTGATATTGTCATTGTTGTCGTAGTTAAATTTTATCTACTCGATACGCAATTATATCCGCTTAGTGAGTTTCCATACACAACGAGTAGCTGATTGTGCATTTACATGTTAAGTGTTTTCATTTTCAATGCACATATTCTCGAAACCATAACTCAACGAAACTGCAAATTGTTCGTTTTTTTTCTCTTCTATCCATTGTTTCTATTTAAGTTAAGTGAAACAAAAGTTAGAAAATTACATCAGCAATTTCATTCTTTTCTTGGCGCGTTTTTTTCTTACTCAAAAAATGTTGAGTGCATAGAACCTGGATTCTCTCTTCCCCTCCGTCGCTTGCGATCTATCTAACTTTCTGCTGTTGAAAATTATATGTCTACCTCTGAAAAGAGGAAATCAATAAATAAGATGCATTTGCATGAAGTTTGAAAGAACAAAAAACCGTCGCGAGTAGATGCGTGGTTCATTGGAACGAAAGAATCACATCAAGAAGCATGTGTAATTGATAAAATACAGACTACATAGAAGACGACATCGAGAGAGAAAAAAAACACCATTATATTCTTGTTAAACCATCTGTATCAAATGCGAAATAACCATGAAATTGCACTTACGATTGACATGTACATGCTGAAATGTTACACGTTTCAAAGTTTACAGTCGTCGTCATCGTCGCCGTTTTCTTCATATGTTTTCGATTGAAATGTACGCAAAAAAAGAGCGCAAAATGTGTGTGACATAACCACTTGAGCTCATTCAACAACAAAATCGGTTTAAATCAATGATCATATTCTGAAACTCAAACACTTCCAAAATGACAAAACTCAATATGCACTCGATCAACATTTATAAACATATACAAATACAACCAAACAACTGCCGCTACTTATAAAATGACAAGCTCAATGTCAGTCACATCAAGTACAGATATATATAATATATATATATATAAAAATATTTCGAAATATACTCACTTTGAATGTGATGATTTATTCCGAACAGCAACTGTTTCTCATGATTATCTAAAAATGTGTGCAGATTTTCGGTATCAATCTGAAGATGAAGTGAAGAAGGGAAAAAAATGACAAGAAAATGAAATGAAAAATTACAAATCCATGGTGTGTGTGTGTTCTTATCAGTGCATCAAAATGTTGAAAGTTTCGCAGCGGAAACGCCATAATCATACATTGCAACAATTCACTTGCATCACAATGTATAGAAATGTATATATCACATTTATAAAACTGAATTGAAGATAACTTTTTTTGCAGCATAAAATACTTAATTCTCGAATTCTGAGGAAATGTGACGGAAATCGTTGGTTTATCAACCATATAGATATGCATGAACCAAGAAAGATGCATACGCTAATTTTGATGAGTTCATTTCTATTTTGTCGTTGGGATTTCCACAAATCATTACTCAATCATCAGTTCTTTAACAATAAAAACAAAAACGAGTGTTGATACAGTTTTAAATCATTACGCAAGTTTCAGTGAAAGTATTATCAGCGACATTCTAGCTAGTTATGACTTTAATTCGTGCAATGATGGGTGTGTAAAATGTTCAGGCCATTATTATCACTGAATTAGAATGAATAATTCACATGAATCAGAATGTTTGATCATACAGTATCATATGTAACTCGCAATCGACCAACATTTTCGCTAGAAGAATATCACCAACATCGATAAAAAAACAAATACTCGATCTTTTTTTATCGTGTTGTTGTCAAAAACCCACACGCAAATGTTCTTCACAACGCCAGTTAGAGTCTGATGTGTGTGTGTGCGAGAATGAGAACGCAAGAGAATTTAAAAATTTCACGCGCGCGCATCTGTTCATTTTCACTTGACGCACCAAAAAAAAAAATTGTTATTACTATGTGATTTGATTAATGAGGCTACTGAGCTCCAGGAGACAAGCGTCAACAAGATGTCAATGAAATGCTCTTCTCATATAAATGTGCGAACTGCGTGCGTGTAATACTCGTTGTGTTTATTCGAAAACTTCATTGGGAAAGCAAAAAAAATTGAGCTCATTTCACTGTAGCACTCTTTGTCGTTTGATGTGAAACGATTTACAGACTGTGCGTTGTTGTTTTTTTTTTCGCTGAATGCTTTCGGGTTGAACGAATCTGACGCACGCTTGTGATCGAAATCAATTTTCAATCTATACTTTATATATACACACACACAAAAATAACGGCCAGTGGAACAATGGTATTTCATTTGAACATTGGTTTTCAGACAAACGAATTGTAATTGGTACAAAAAAAGTAGTTTTTAAACGAAAAACCACACGTTCTAGCCAAAACAAACGGGAAACTTATCATATATCTATGGAGTACTTATCTCGATCCATCGAAGGGTCAAATTGTTCCATTAAACTAGACCATTTTTCAACGCACCATTTCAAATTCATTAAATTTGGTATTCGAATTGGTCGACATGGCGTTGTTGAATGATTTTTGCGTGTCGATAAACTCACCTGTTGTATATAGTTTACATTTGCTTTCGATATGCACAAATGCGGCACATAATTCGACATTTCATTTTTTTTTGCCTACGTTTATTAATTTAAAACTCATTTTTGTTGCGAACTATGTGTATTTTTTTTTTTTTGTTTGTTTGTTGACTCTTTTTGCAGCTCACAAAACTCAATTTTACAATTTAATATTTTTTTTTTGTTTGAGTCTTATTACATCAATGTGCCTTTTTTTCTTGGTGTGTGTGTTTGATAGAAACATGAATTAGATATGCATGTAATTACATTTCGATCGTATCGTATCCTGTGTATGTGGATCGGCCACAAATTGATAATGTAAATTTCAATGCGAGGAAGAAACCAATTAAAAGCAAAGTCAAATACCTTTGCCACATAACGCTCTTCTATCAATCTTTTCTTTTAGTAAAAAAAAATATTTGCGCATACGCAGGCGCATTATTTTCATCTCTCTGGAATCTTTCTGTCTTTCGATACATTTTATAACTTGAATTAAAATTAAATTTTCTCAAACGATTGTGATGACTGTTGTATATTCGACGTTGACTTGATTCATAATCACATTGATGATGGTACCGTTTTCCTCCACCTATTTTAATACCGTTCGGTGAATGTTTAATTGGTCATCAAGAAATTCAGTGAAAACAATACCATTTCAAATTACATAATTTTTAATTCAATTCTTTCTCTCCGATCGAATTTTTACTGTTTTTCTCCCCGATCTGTTACCTTTTATTTAAGGCAATTGACATGTTTTCAGTACAACAAAAAAAAATTAATGTCGAAAACGATAGCCCCAAAATTCGCCAATTTCTGTTTATGCTCTCGATTTCTTTTACGCTTTTTAAAAGACAGTATCGCAGACAACCAAAAAAAATTGTTCACCTATTTGCCAAAGTGAAATGAAAGCCGAAATTTGTTCCGGCAAATGAATTTTGGGACTCAAATAAATTGCACACGATTACTATTTATTTTATTTTTTTCCTCTCCGTCGGTTGTGCTTATTTGTCTGCTTCGCATCTTCTGTCATGCCATTTTCCCATTTATTATATACATATACGGTCAACGCTTTTTTTTCCCTCTTTCTTCTGTAACGCTATTTTGTGTGTTTATTGTGTCAGAATATTATTTTATTTCATTACAATTTAATTCATAACAGATGTGCGCCGGCGAAAAAAAAAGAAAGTGAAAACTTAATGTTTGATGTATGATTTAGCGGGTTTTTATTCTAAGCAAGTGTGTGCGCGCGCGCGCTGAGCAAGCAACCGTGTGTCAAATCGATACAATGAGTAACCACCGAATCAAAGAAAGAAACACCGTTCAGAAGAGGAAACAATATTTCGGATGTCCAAATTGATAACCCTTGAAGATCTTTGCTTCAAAAACACATTTCAATCGAGCATTGACGCCAAACTCTCTCACTCTCATCCTCTCACACATATCAATCAGCTGCTTCGGCTAGTGAACAGAAGCGACGGCATCAACAATAAATAAGAAAAACGAAAGTAAAATCGTTTTCATTTTCGCATTCTCATGAATATGCTTTCTGCAAGTTTATAATGATTATTTTTTTAAGTTATTCTTTATGTGACGTGTTGTTGTCGGTTTTTAACACTCGTCGATGAATTTTCGCCACACTTCGTTGCCAATATAGATTACAATCGATGATGTATGCGATATATTTTATATTTTCTGTGGCTGTGAATTCTTTCTTTCTCTCTCTCTCTCTCTCTCTCTTTCTCGTCCATCCAAAATTTCTAGTGTCTGTGCGAATATTTTGATCTTCAAAGTTTTTTTTATGTGCATCTCAAACTCGTTTGTTTTTACATCGACCCAACAATACATTTGTCTTTAAAATATAAGTCCGATCGGAATCTATGATGCTAGATATATATGTAATGGATATGAGAGAGTAATTACCGTATTGTATCAAATGTGTGTGAGTGAGAATTGCAGACCGTAATAAAAAGAAATTGCGAGGATAGAAATGGAAACGCCATCGATAAAATTCATGAATGCAAAATTGAAAAGAAGTTTGAGAAAACCGAACGAAAGAGAGAGAGAGAGAGAGAGAGAGAGAGAAATGGAAAAGTGGAAATGAACCATGCAATGCGTTGGCGGCAATGGCGAATAATAGTGACTCGTGCGCTGCTTACAACGATGGAACTTTCGGTAATAATTTATTGACCGTTTGTACTTGCGGCAATTAAAAATCGAGTGAGAATGTACAAGATATATAAATAAAGAAAAAAAAAACAATCATAAAGAGAGAAAGATAAAAAAATAAACCAGCTACTTACGATGTGTCCATTGTACTTGAGCGTTGCTTGGGGTTCCACGCTGATATGATAAGCGATGGTCAATTTGAAATTTTCCAACGCAATCAAGACTATCAATAAATGCGTACCAATCGTCATATTCAATAAACACAATTTATTTTATCGGTGTTTCAATCTCGGATGTGTTTGTGTGGCAGTGGTTGTTGAGCGGCAAAAAAGCGTACATTTAATCATTCATTTCATTCGGGATCTGTTGAAAAAAAAATCACACGCGCTTTTTTCTCTCTCTTTTGTGTTGATTTTAGCATTTAATTGTCGTTTCAGTCTATTTTTCAGCTCGTATTATAGTTTTATTGCGATGAAAAATGGATTTTCATGCAATTTAAGTGACGCGATCAACTTTCTTTTGCAAGAACATTTGATGGCATGATCTTCAATCGAAGCGTTCATCATTTCACTTGATGTACCATTTTTGCATTTTGTCTTTCTATCTATATATTTTTATTTTTAATTTCGGTTCACATATAATTTATTGTTCCAAAAAAAAACGGCACGTTACGGTTTCGGTTTGAATATTAAAACTAAATTATAAAATTGGCGAATGGCTTTGGATAGATAAATGTCGAATTTTGAAAAGAGATCGGAAGAATGTTCAACACCGAATATGGTTCATGAGCCGATTGTGCACCGCTATGAAAAAAAAAAAAAAATTAAAATGCTTGGGAAAATTGCGAATAATGAGAGCGAATGCGATCGCTAGCTCGTTCATTTGTGATGTCAAATCAAATTGTTTACATCGCAACAACAACAACAACAATAAAACACAGATGAAGATGTAGCAGCATTCGTGTGATCCACGAATTTGCACTCAATATCATAAGCCACACAACAAGATCAAACATTGATAAAACTGTTGAACTTTTCCACTTGGCTGATGGGAGATTGCACTCAAGCATTTCAATCATGAATATTTTTGGCATACACACATCGTAGGAAAAACAGCAACAACAAACCATTTACATCTCATTTTGCCGCGTCTCCAGTTTAACGCTTGTATAAATTTGCATTCAATGTGTACACCTCATGAAAAATAGAAACAAAACTTTATGGCCCTGAAAATGTGTTTGACCGATTGATGATTTTGGCCATTGATATTATATTGAATACTGCTCACCGCCTATATGTTTTTTTTTGTTGTTGCAAAAAACGAAGACTCACACTCATACACACCAACGTTTCATTCAACAGAGAAAAAATAGGCTCGTACGATTCGATTGTTTATTTCCACTCATACCGTAGGCATAGGTCGTGATGCGGTACGCACGAAGGTCACAAAGCATTTCTTGTGTAAAATTGCAAGTGCAAATGATTGTTTATGTATCGCTGTTACTTTATTAAATCGTAAATCGTATGGGATGGCAAATTGCCGTATTTACGCATAAAAAACGAATATATAAAATAAATCATTTAGTTTTTAAGATCGTTTCAAGAGGAATCTCAATTGGATACAAATTTTATGTGAATATATGTGTAATAACGGCCTTTGTTTTGATGTTGTTTTTTTTTTTTAATAAATGCACGGTATGTTCCTCGCTCTCAGATTGTTTAGCATTTTTTTTTGCTCACCAAAATTTTACGTGAATTTCTACAATTGAAAACAACAGCAAAGAAGAAGAAGAAGGAAAATAACGCCACTTGCAAATTTGTTTTTCTTTAAAATTCAAAAAATTTAGCATCGGTTACAATGGGGGATAATTAAAGAAAATGGTTTGAAGAGATGGAGGAGAAAAGATCTTCAACAACAATTGAACTTCATCTTAAGCCGACTGTTAGACTCTATTCATACAGAATGAATGATGGATGCTACAATTAAATAGATCGTCGTGTTTTTTTTTGCTTGTATTTCAATGAATAAATTAATAACATTTTTTTCTGTTCATTTAAATTTATCAATCGAATCCAGCGACTACAACGACGAAAAGGACGGCATGCATACAAATTGATAAGGTGAATGTAATCAAAGTAAAAAAAAACGAGAACCACGAAAAAACACATGAACTGAGAAAATACACACGCACGCAAGCCTCAAACATTATAGAAAGAGAGAAAATCGAATTGTTTGTCGTTTGTTGCTGTTTAAACGACGTCAGCCAACAACAACAAACATTTAAGATAGAATGGGAAAAATGCCCGTTATAAATGAAAGAATTTCAATTAGCTTTGTCGCGTACAATGGAATAAATGGTGTAATTTTCAAAGTTGCAGTGCAAATGTGACTGACGAAATATCGTCTCTCGCTCTGTTTGATTTCGTTTGTAATGAGATATCGAAACGAAGGAAAATGCACCATATTTCAGTTGTAACCTGTCTATGTAAAATGGCTCTGACCATAAAGCTAAATATTCGGACAAGCAATTTAGTTTAATAACAACAAGAGAACAATGGAATGTAGAAAAAGTACGGGTTTTTTTATTCATTCTTTCTCTCTCTATCTATCTCCTTCATTCACTTGTTCAAATGTCACCTTATTAGCAATGGTAATTAAATCGATATGAATACGCTATAAATTCGACTTTCATCCACCGTATTCAACTTTTAGCTCAGATGTGAGCTTGTAACATAAACAAAACACATACACTCCACATTGTGTATGGCACGTGTTTTCTAGGCGACAAGTGTTCCATAGGAAAACGACGATGACACAGAAAAATGTTTTCACGAGATGCACATTATGCACCATTTGTTGATCGAATCGCTCTCAATCGATAGATATTCAATTATTTTCTTTTTTTTTCTGTTCAGCTGTTTAGCATTGATTTGGACGTTAACCTTGAGATATGAATTATTTTCAATAAAACAAAATATTTGACGTCGACTTTTTATTGCCCATTTGAAGAGAGTGCAAAATGTGTTTGTGTCTAATCGAAAACTGAGTCGAGAAACATGTGTAACAAAAGTCTGTGTCGATGTTTGATTGTCACCATGAAATACACGCGCAACAAGTGTGGCATAAGAACATATAACATGCATCTGCTCCAAATACGGTAAATGTGCACTGAAATTGCGACACATTAAGATGCATTGAACGGTCGATGAAAATTATATTATATGTGACTAACAAAACAAACGAATGACACCAAATCTCAGTCTCTAATATTGATATACGACAAAGTATGAAACAAGGCATTGAGCAACGGATTATTTCAACGGTTGACATCGGCTTGTGTAACACATACACCCAATTTTATAATTGGAGCAATTCACTGGCTCAATGAAATTAGGCTTCTTAAGTAAATTATATATTTGTAAGCGTAACATACAAAGTAAGAAGAAAAATGTTTTATATCTCACAATGAAAATCTGACATAATTTCAAATGCTTCGAATTCTTAGAGTTCTAGTAATATGGTGTCACCAAAAGTGACGCGAAATTGTTAACTGTTTCGATAACATGGAAGAAAACTTTGTGATAAAAAGCGAACACGATCTATTCTCAGTAACAAAAATCTATAATTATGTTACGCACATATACGATTCAACAGTGATTTCACAGTGACAAAGCATCGCACTCACATGCATTGTTCGATGCAATTTTTTTTTGTGTTGATCATACAATAATAATATATCATTGGTTTGGATTCAATTATGAAGTTTGTGCGGCACGCACATGCAATCACTTAATTGATTTATATAATAAAATCCTTGTTGGAAGCGTATAAAATGTGCTACAGCATTCACAATTCAATGTAAGAAACCGAGTTCTGTGCCATAAAAACCAAAAGAGAATCTATCGTAAAAGGATGTGATGATTTGCAAAAGAAAAACTTTCATTCAATCCCCCCTATTTTTCATCTTTTTTTTTGCGAAAAAGGATCAAATTCACATAATTCGTTGTTATTATTGCTAACAAAGATTTGGTATATATACGACAAAAGTTGGCGAAAAATGTGTTCGAAACAGCCGAAACGATATAATGAAGTTGCATTTGTGTCAACATTCCCCAATCACTATCATTTATTATATAAACGAAATGCGACGGTTTTCGTGCAAACGACAGTATGCTTAAAAAGAATGAACAAGCAAAAGTGGAATGAGAAGGAAAAAAAAGAAAATAAACGAAAATAGACATTAAGCGACAATGCAGAATAGACACGTTGGCCACTGTGAGAGTAAGCGAACTCTCGTACACACAACACAGCGAGATGAATTCATGCTGTGGTATGCACAAGTGGTGAATGATGTAGCTGTTGATTGTGCGAATCGCATCGCTTATTTATTTATTTTAGTGTGTGTTTTTGTCTTCATTCGTTTGTGGAAGAAAATGATGTAAGCAATTTCTTTGTTGCACTTCTTTTCAATTTCGCTCTACACACATACACTCACACTCATTTTGACTGCGAATCGAATTTTTGACGTTATAATATAGTATATCTGCGTTTTGCTTCTTTTTTTTATTTGACTGCGCTTTTATGAATGAATTTTCTAGTTCGTCGGCTTGAAAAGCTTTCTAATCACGTTAAGTAATCCACCATAAATCTCTTCATTGTGAAGCTACACCGCAGGCCAAACGAGAGCACCCTGAACCATTTTGCTTGCGTCGGTTTGATGAATAGATTTCAATAAATGATATTTGAAAATTTAAAAAAAAATTAAAGAAACGGAAAAACAACGGAAAAAATGACTTTTTTCATTTTGTGCCGGTCGTCATCGTAATTGTCATTTGTGCTTATGAATGTTGTTTTGACCCGAAATTCAATGAAAAATGCCGATGCTGTGGTAAATTTCATTAGGTAACAACACAAAAAAAAACACAATTAATGCCAAATTTTAAAAATCAACGAACAAATAAAATAAACCAAATTAAATCGTTAAATTTGGTGCGTATCATTTAATTTTGGTAGAAAAATGAAAATGGACTTTTTTTTTAAAAAAAAAAGGAGCAAACAAATCTCTTTGTTCAACGCAATTCAATCAGTTTTTAACGTTTGGGAGATAGAGAGAGAAGGTTTCATTTGAAATTGTCGATAGCCTCGTCCTTGCTTATGATACTTTAAAAAAATTATTTAAAAAAAGCGAAAAATACTCAATAACAAGTAGATAAATTACAAATATTCAAATAGCCCATCATTGGCACACACACACATACACACAATTGAACCAGCTATTTATTGTGCAAATACGAAATCAGAATATTAAATACAAACAACGTTCATTAACCGTATTGATCAGAGAAAAACGAAAGAATGAGAAAAACTTGCACACACATGACTTGAACATAAACAGGTACAGCGTAGCACATATAACAACAAATACGTCGTTTACATGTACATCTAATTCAAAAATAAATGAAATTTATAGCATCCAATTAAATTAATTGGCTTTGGATTTATATTATAAGAATAGAATATTATATTTGGTGACAATATAATGATTGTCTCTTCCTATGTGCATAATTGTGTTACACGGCGCTTACATTTCCATTTGTCGTATTATTGTTACTGCCGACGATGGCTGTACGTGTATCTGCCCACAAGGCTTCTTTTCAAATATGCTGCGTTTTGTTTTTTCTCTCTCTTCTCAGCCGTATTTAGGAACAGCGATGTGCCGCTTTTTGTTTGTGCACAGGTGACGGAAGTGTAAAACGATTTAGAATGAATTGAACGTATCAACATTTGAATTGAATTGACTTTGAGATGTATAATTAGGATTTCGACGCACCACTGAGGGATCATCGTTGTGTGACGAGACGAGATAAGAATCCATAAGCTGATTTATTACGAATTTGTGGTAAAAAAATGGGATCTCACATACAAAGATAGACAGACAGAGAGAGAAAAAGAAAGAAATAAGAATCCATTGGGATGTGTTCGCATGATATTGAACGATTTTCTTCAATGCCAATTGTCCATTCAAACGATCTATTTTCAAC